AGATCACAATTAGAGAACATTTCATCATCCTACATCTGTCCATCACTTTTAACATTTTAGTTCTAATTATATATTGTGGCTGTCTCAGAAATTCCTCAGTCTTAATATGTCCAAAATAGAATTTGTGATGATCCCTCCCGAAACCTGTCCCTCTTAGAGTGTTTTCTGTCTCACTGAATGGCACCACTGTCTACCCTCTTCTGCAGACTGGAAACCTGGACATTATTCTTGATCCTTGCCTCTTCTCTAATCTATTCCAGCACTGTTCACTAAAAATGAAGTGTGACCACGTAATTTTAAGTGTTCTAGTGGCTACATTAAAAAAAAAGAAACGGGTGAAATTAATTTTAATATATTTGACTTAACTCAATATATCCAAAATCTTATTTCAACATATAATCAGTATTTTAAAATTAATGAGATATTGCACAATTTTTAAATATTAAATCTTCAAAGTCCAGAGTATATTTCACACTTAGAATAAGTACATCTCAATTCAGACTAGCCACATTTCATGGGCTTAATAGCCACACGCGTCTGGTGGCTACTGTTTTTGATAGTGAAAATCTAGTCCATCACCAATGTCTTTGAGTTTTATCTCCCAAGTATCTCTTAATTCTTTCTCCTCCTGTCTCAGCTGCCACCATCCTGATAAAGATTACCGATAACTTCTAGCTCTCCTTCCATCAGTTCACACTGTAGTCAAAATGATCTCCACCAAACTCTGCCCTGCTTCCATCTCATCATCATTTACTCTTTCTTCAGATCTCATGAAATTACAGGAAAAAGCAGCCAAGGAACAGCCTGGATGGCTTTATTGGCGGACGGGAGACTTAAGCTTTTTCTTTGTGAGACAGGATACCATTGGAGAGTTTTCAGCAGAGGAGTCTTATGACCTTAGTCTTTAAGAGGATCACTGTGGCTGTCATTGAAAATAAACATACATCTATGTATCAGAAATGTCCTTCTCAGCAAAAGTTCCATATTTAAATGCTTTCTCTGCTTTCAAGTCTTAATTCAGAAATCTCTTCTATTTGCTTTTCCTAAGCCTTATTATCTAGAAGTGATTATTTGCTAGTATCATTGATAATCCTATTCTATATGTTGATTTTTTTCAATAGACTATAAATTCTCCAAAGATAACGATTGTAGCTAGTATATACACACAATGCCTGTAACTATTTGTTGAATGCATAGTTACCTGTAGTTCCAACTGAAATCATGGGAATACTTTCTTAAATCATAACAAAATGGTATTTTGATGATACTGTTACTCTATACTTGTTTTTGTAAGCAGAATTAATATAAATGCAGTAGTAAAAACAGTAGTCATATTGTTCAAAAGTTTTACTTATATTCACTCATTTAATCCTCACACAATTTTGTGAGTAGGTATGATCATTACTATCTTCTAGATGGGAAACTGAGGCAAATAATAGTTAGGTAATTTCCACAAGGTTATTTAAGTGTTAAATGGCAGGGCTAGAATTTAGATCCAAGCAGCTTGTCCTTACTGAATACAGTTAATTTTAGTAGTAGGTCATAGATTAGATCAATAGAATTTGAAAAACAATTTGGGTGATGAACATAGTATTGCCACCTATAATCTTTATAGGTTATAATCTTTAAGATTATAACATTTTTTTCTGACCACTATTCCATTACTTTTGAAAGTTTAAAAATATATAAAATTCTGATTTTGGGTAACCTATTTTTTAAGTAATACATGATTATATTAATCCTTGAAATTTACCTTTTGTATAAGGAGAAGCAGAATAATGGCACATTGATATAAAAATACCATGGGAACAAACTTTGTGTTTTTCCCTCTTTAGGGCCTGTATATCTTTAGGATCAAGAACTCGAGCCATTGGAAATGCAGCTAAGAGCCAGGTAAATTGTTACTGTAAATGTTTTGATTTATAAAAAGAATTAACCGAATCTTGGTAACTAAATTCCCACTTTTTGTAATTCAGAGTGAAAAAGAGAGTGGTGAAAATATAACAGATCTTAAATCTTTGTATTTTATTAGATATATTTTGCTTTGGGTTATAAAATATTTTTTGAATTTTATTTATTAAAAATCTTCTTACTTATAAAGTTAGGATTTACCACCATATGACATCAGTTTTTCTCTGGTAACTTTCTGTGAAAGTATCCTATGAGGATATACACTTCAACAACAGGTGAGCAGTGTCTTGGTGAAAAAAGGCGGGAAATGGAGGAACTAAGTTCCAGAATAACCCAGTGTGGCCTCCACTGCTTTACATGGAATCTGTTTAAGTGTTTATATTTTAGGTTTCTGAAATGTTTGTAGTAACACATACACTTTTAATGTTCTGTGCTATAGGTTCATTTTACTTGGACTCTGTTTATTGCCCTGAACCAAAAGACTTTAACAATTACTTTTTACCTTTTAATATATACCCGGGTCTTCTCTTTTTCATTTTTAAGTAACTTTGTTTAATGAGGCTTTTTCTTCGTGGCTTCATAGGAATAATCGATTCATTTATCTAGAATTTTTGCTTATAATTTTTATATTCTACTTGCTTTTATCTTATACTTTCATGTTGTACATAAAAGATGTTGAGTTTGTGCTAAAATGACCCCTTCACTAAAGTTTACCTTTCATATTCTGGCTGATCTTACATCTCATATTCTGGCTGATCTAAGTGAGTAATATAGATATCAGAGTTTCTGGAGAAAGCAAACTGTAAAGTTATTTCTCCTGAAGAGCTAAAAAACCAACATGGTAATTCATTCCTGCAGTTTTCATCTCATAATTGAAGATCAAGATCTATTTGGCTTTTAAAGGTCACTGAGAGGGCAACAACTGGATGTCAATAATATTCTATATTTGGAAGTACTTGGTCTAGTTAAAGAAAAAATTACATAGCCAGAATACAAGCCATTTACAAATTAAGAGACTTTAACTTAGCACCATGCTACCTGGGAAGAGTTTTAATTTACTAGCTTAGGAGCAAGTTTTAGCAGTAGAAGTGACATGAGAACTTTTATGAATTAGATATTCAGAAAAAAAACAAAAAATGGGACAATGAAACATGTAGTTTAAATAAAAGTGCAGTGATGAAAGTGGAAAGAAAATCAGTGATTCTGATTCTCTAGAGCAAAAGTGTTAAAGAAAGCCAAATGATGAGTTGTAGATACATTTTAATTATTTGAAAAAAAATTAAGTTTTATTCTTTCTTTTGTGAAGACATTAATTTTAAATCTAACATTCCTAGGACAAGAGGAGAATTGGGGAGGGAGGGGTGGGCAATCAGTAAGATGCACTCATTCTTATTGTATAATTTATATTCTTTGGAAACCAGAAGAATGAATGTGTATAATTGTGAACTTGGGTATAAAAGATAAAGAGACTTGATGGTTCTCAAGTATTAGCGTAGTGCTTATTTTACATTCTTTAAGTAATTGATAAAGTGTTTACTGCCAACAGATAGTCACGAATGTAAGAAATACAATTCATGGCTTCAAAAAGCTTCATGGGCGCTCATTTGATGATCCTATTGTGCAAACTGAAAGGATCAGGCTTCCCTATGAGCTGCAGAAGATGCCTAATGGAAGTGCAGGAGTTAAGGTAAGCTTTCTGTTCTCAGTGAAAATGTAGATTTAGATTTAAGAAACCAAATACGATAATATTGCCTACTTGTAATTTAACTTTTTTCCTCTGAAAGCAGTACATATACGGTAAGATACAGGCAATTTTTGTAGTAAGCTTTAGTGAGTGCAAAAATCTTCTAATTAGATAATAATCTTAATCCAAACAATACTTTTATTATCAAGGAAAAATTATTATTTGCAGAACTTAGAGGTAAACTTTTTAAGGGATAAAGGCAGAGGTAGCATATGCGATTTAGAAAAATAGGCCCCAAAAGTATGTTAATTGTCATGAGTTTTCTCTAATTTAGAAGAATCTTATAGCATATTAGAAGTGTTAAAGCAAACTCTTCTTCCTTCTTCCAAATGAGAGAGGGATAGTGGATTTTTATTCTACATCCTGAGACAGTAAGTTATACATTGGTTAATAAAAACATATTTCTGTTGATTTTTGAAAAACTAACATGATACTTCAAAACAGAGTTACATATGACCCAACAATTTCACTCTTAGGTGTATACACAAGAGATTTGAACCATATGTGCACACAAAAACTTGAACATGAATGTTCATGGTAGTCTTATTCATAATAGCCAGAAAGTAGAAGCAACCCAAGTGCCCATCAACTGGTGAGTGAATGAAGTGTGGTAAACCTGTACAGTGGAATATGATTTGATCATAAAAATGAGTGAACTACTGATATGTATTACAGCATGGATGAACCTTAAAAACATGCTAAGTGAAAGAAGCCAGATACAAAAGACCATACGTTTTCTGATTCCGTTTGTATGGCTGTCCATAACCAAGCAAATCAATAGACACAGAAAGTAGATAAGTGGTGGTTAGGAGTTAAGAGGAAGGAGGAATGGGGATTAACTGCTAATGGCTACAGGATTTTTTTTAGGGTAGTAGAAAATATACTACAATTAGTGTTGATCAGTGCATGACTTTGTGTATATACTAAAAACTACTGTACTGTGTACACCACATGATGAACTTTATGCTATATGAATTATACTAAAAGCTATTTTAATAACTAATTTTAAATAGTATGTTTTTAGGCTATGCACATATTTCCATTTTTAGAAGAGAGAGGGTTCTGACTACGGAATGCATGATGAATTAAGAAGACATGAGGCTATTAAAATAATTCAAAGAATACACTATGAGAGATTAAAGACAAGGAGACAAATTGTAAAGCCATATTTTAAGTGTAATTTGTGGGTCAAGGATTGCTGATTAGGAAGCTGAATGGATTATGATAGCAATAATGAGATAAAGAATAATATCTAGATATCCTTTAGATATGATAAGTTCTGGTTAATGACCATGAGAAGCAGTTTTTTATTCTAAACTAAATTGTTTTTATTCTTTAAAAAGAAAATTAAAAATCATGATTTCTAAGTAGTTTGAGAAAAACAGAAAAAATTTTTAAAGAAAGCCAAACCAAATTTTTGAGTGATACAGGTTTTATGTAGTCATAATGATTGCATGTAAAAGGCTTTGAAATCATTTATCAGTCCTCTTTTGAACTACATTTCCTCATCTTTTGAAGATTGTAGATCTTTTGATTTATCTATTTTTTGGACATTTGTTTGAATATACTTTGATGTATATTACATCTAACTTTATATTCTTACACAAAAGAATACTATATTGTTGTGCCTCCTATAATCAGACTAACACCATGGTATTTGATTCATTTTCCCTTATTTTAGTGTGTGATATCTTCCAACACTTATTAATTTCATATAATACCGGGTTCTGAACTTTTAAGTTGATTTATAGACAAATGGATATGAATTTTAGGTCTGTTTCAAAGTAAATCTTATAACATTATGTAGACATATGCATACACACTTATACATACATTGTGCTACTTGAGAAAGAAGTTCTTTAAAGGTCTTCCAAAGTTTAGTGTTATAGAATAAAATTATTCACTCCATACAGAGGTAACAGACATTGCCTTTTCCTCAATTAAATGTTGTCATTATGTGGGTTCTAAGGTAACTTTGTATTATTAATTTTGCAGTTAATAAAAGGGTTTGATTACTTCAATAAGCACAGATCTTCTAGTATTCCTTGGTCAAGAAGTTCTGTAAAGTTCCATTTGTGTGCCGAAATGCAACCTAGTCTATTGTGACTAACTCATGACAATTAAGATTAAATGGTTATTTGATTTAAAAATAATTTTTAAATTTCATATATACATCTCTAACGTTTAACTTATAATTATCCCCAGAAACCTTGGAGTAATACATAGTTTTTTAAAAATAAAGACATTTCTTCTTTTTTTTCCTTTGATGCGCTCATTTCCTTTCTCCAAAACTATAGGACTGAAGCTTTCATTTTAAACCCAGGAAGAGTTCTGCTTTCAAAAGAAAGATTATTTTATTTTTTTCTTCTTCATTAGCTAGGATATTGATTGAAAAAAATTTCTTTTGTGGGAGATGGGAATCTGGAGCAGGTAAAGATACTTCTGAAAATAATTTGGTTGTAATACTGTGTGTTAGGCACCGAAACTTCAGAAAAGGGGTTTTGATATTAGAACAGTCTTTTGGGAATATAGCTTTGAGCTAGGACTTTGCCTTTTTTACTGTTGTCTATCCATCATGTATAGAGTAGATGTTCACAGGATATTTGTTGGATGAATAAGTGAGTCAATAAATATCTCAACTTTTGGTTTTAGGTACGGTACCTAGAAGAAGAGAGACCTTTTGCAATTGAGCAAGTTACTGGAATGCTGTTGGCCAAGCTTAAAGAGACTTCAGAAAATGCTTTAAAGAAACCAGTGGCTGACTGTGTGATTTCAGTAAGTTTTACTTCAGCAATGAATACTCTTGAATCATATTTTCCAGTGTACAGTAGTCCCGTCTTATCCACATGGGTTACATTCCAAGACTGCCGCTGGATGCCTGAAACCACAGATATTACCAAATCGTTTTTATACTGTGTTTTTTCCTCTATTCATACCTTTTCACTTACAGGAAGCATTTTTCAGCTACTCCTTGGTATATTCTCCTTGCTAGCGCCACTACTCTTGCACTTTGGGGTCAATATTAAGTGAAATAAGCGGTATTTGAACATAAGCTCTGTGATGCCATGCCAGTCCATTTGATAACCGAGATGGCGGCTGAGTGGTGACATGGGAGTAGCATTGTAACAGGATAGATACTCTGGACAAAAGGTTGATTCATATCCTGGGCAGGTCAGAGTGGGATGGCGTGAGATTTCATCACGCTACTCAGAATCACACACAATTCAAAACTTATGAATTGTTTATTTCTGAAATTTTCCATTTAACATTTTTAGATCTTGGTTGACCACAGGTGATTGAAACCATGGAGAGTGAAATATTGAAATACTGTTCCAACCTTTTTTTTTTTACTCTTTATGCCTTATTATCCAGTAAATAACCTAAATTCATTTTTATTTTTACTGTACATTAAAAAGAAATCTTATTTGGTACAGTTCAGGATTGTTTCCCAAAAGTCAATTGTGAATCTTAAAAACTAACATATGAGATTAGTTAGTGACTGCCGCTTATCCCTAAGAATCTTTCCAAGTAGCAGTTAACTTGCCACCTCTAGGGACTTCAACATTTTATGGCAAAGATTGAAAATTCCCAGTTGAGATTTTGAGATTGTATATATTTTATATGAGAAAGAAAAGATCTTTTTTAAATGATAAATTGGACATATTTAACATGCATACTTTCAGAAGTTTTGATATTTGCATACACCCACAAAACCATTATCACTAACAATATAATAAATATATCTCTCTCTACCCCCAAAATTCCCACGTGCCTTTCTTTTTTTAAAATTGTTTGTTTATAAGGTGTATAACACGATGCTTTGATATACATAGTGAAATGATTAGTAGTCAAGCTAATTAACATATCCATCTCTACATACAATTTCCTTTTTATGTATTTTTTGTGTGTGATGAGAGTTCCTCATATCTACTTGCTTAGAAAATTTCCAGGATACAATTATTATTAGCTGTAGACACCATGATATACATGAGATTTTTAGAACTTATTCAGCCTATGTAATTGAAACTTTATATCCTTTGGCCAATATCTCCCCATTTTCCCACCTCTGCCCCTGGTAACCACCATTCATTCTCTCTGCTTCTGTGAATTCAGCTTTTGCAGATTCCACATATCAGTGAGATCATGGAGTATTTTTCATAAAGAAAAGATATTTAAGGATTTTTAACATATATAGTGAGTTCTTAATTATATATTGATAACTAGTTTATATACATTACATATATTGATTACATATTAATAACTAGTTTTTAATTTATATGTGGTCACCTAAATGTGAGTACATTTCTAATACTTTTAAACTTGACTACATAAGTTCAAGAGTCTTATGTTATCAGAAAAATAGAATCAGATTATGAACTCTTCAGTGTATTTATTTTTTATTTATTTTTTAATTTTTATTTTTCGAGTTGACATTCAATATTTTATATGTGAATTTAGTAATCAGGTTTTTTGCTAGGTATTTGGAATTTTTTTAATGAGACAAATATTAGAGCTTAATATTTTGTTTTCCAGTCATTTAGTAATAATAGTTTACCATTGGTCAGGTACTGTTATAGGCATTTAATATATATTGACCAATTTAATCCTCAGAACCAGTCTATGAGGATATTGTTAACCCCAATTTTCCAGATTAAAAAACTGAGGCACAGAGAAGTTAAATAACTTGCCCCACATCAGTACGACTAATAAGTGGTAAAGCTAGAAATCACACCCAGATAGTTTATTCCCATGTCTGTGCTCGTAACTCTTCCATCATTCTGCCACTTGAAAATGTATGTCAGAATGGTGTAAATTTTAAAACTCCATCTTAAATTTAAATTCACCCGTACTTATTTAATTATACTTGATTTTACCTTCATGCCAGAAATTAGTGCCAGAATAGAGCATTATGAACTTCTTGGCCGTTATTACCTTTGTAGTTAGTGCAGTTGACACATTGCGAGCTATACGAGGGGAAGTATTTTCTCTGTTGTATTCACTACTCTCTTCCTAGTGGCTAGAAAAGTACCTGATGATAAGTGCTCAGTGAATTTTAAATGAACCATACATATAATTTAGAGTCAGAATGATAATACCAAAATCGAGATAAACAATCTTATCAAAATTCAAGTTATATTCCTGTTTTTAATATGTGTTAAATGAAATTTCTTAATTTAAAAAACAATAAAATTGGAAGAGCCCGCAACAAACATATGGAAAGATGCTCAGCATTGCTAGCTGTTAGAGAAATGCAGATCAAAACCACAATGAGATACCATCTCACACCTGTTAGAATGGCTATAAACAGCAGGACAAGTAACAACAAATGCTGGAGAGGATGCGGAGAAAAAGGAACACTCATACATTGCTGGTGGGACTGCAAATTGGTACAGGCACTATGGAAAACAGTATGGAGGTTCCTCAAAAAACTAAGAACTGATCTACCATATGATCGAGCAATCCCTCTACTGTGTATTCACCCCAAAGACTTAAAAAATCATATCCATATAGGTATTTGCACACCAGTGTTCATAGCAACATTATTCACAGTGGACAGGACATGGAAGCAACCGAAGTGTCCTATGATAGATTAGCTAAAGAAGCTGTGGTACATATATACAATGGAATGTTCCTCAGCCAAAGAAGAGATGAAATATAGCCATTTGCGACAATGTGAATGGAACTCGAGATAATCATGCTAAGTGAAATAAGCCAGGCAGAAAAAGTTGAAAATCACACGATATAACTTATATGTGGGATATAAACCTAAAAGCAACAAAGGATCAGGGCAAACAAACAGAGGCTCATGGACATGGACCGTAGACTAGTGGTTACCAGAGGGTAGGGCATGGGGGAAGAGGGGGATGTAGATGGGGTAAAGGGAGTAAAATATGGGGGTGGGGGGGTAGGGGGAGGCTGAAGGTGGGTAAAGGGGATCAAATATATGATAGCTGAAGGAAACTGGACTTTAGATGATAAACACAATAGAATATACAGATGTTAAATTATAATGTACACCTGAAAATTATATAATTGTATTAACCAATGTTACCTCAGTAAAGTTAATTTAAAAAAAAATTGGAAGAGCCCCATGTTATTTTGTACATGAATGTACTTAATTAGCTTTTTAGAAATCTGTTTGTAGACCAAACCAAAGTGTTTCTTAGTGTGATAGAACTAAGTATATGTAAATATTAGTTATAGGTTTAAGCCTGAATTTATTTTTTATTAGAAATATGTTTAATGTTTTTGGTGATCTTAAAAGAAACACATACTCATCACAAGTCCCCTGCAATCTAGTTCCGCCATCCCTTTGAAATATAACTATTGTAAACATTTGGGACTATATTCTTCTTGTTACACACACACACACACACACACACACACACACACACACACACACACGAAATCATGTTATACATGCATTTTTTAAATGTATCAAAGATACTATTCAATGACAATTCAGATCTATCTGATTGTTTCTAACAGCTACCTAAGAGTCCATTATATAGATAAAACATATATATTTAACCAATTTCATTTTAACAGACTGTTTGGTTTTTAATTTTTCATGGTTAAAGCCAAACAAATATATTTTTTCATAGGCCAGACCAACACAAAGAGGATTTAGATTAATAACTGTTCCATCTTATTAATTGCTTTAAGTTTGAGTTTGTACTTTAGGTCAACATTTTATAGTATAGAATTACCAAACTTAAAAAAAAGAAAGCAAGTATATTTTCTCATTTATTTAATTAGAACACCATTCTTTGCCTTAAGCGATGCACAAGTTTAGTGCAATTAGTTTACATTTTTCAGCTTATGGAATATTTAAGTAAAATCTACATCAGATTAATATACTTAATTATTATTTCTAAATACCAGATTCCTAGTTTTTTCACTGATGCTGAGAGAAGATCTGTGATGGCCGCAGCCCAGGTTGCAGGTTTAAATTGTTTAAGATTGATGAATGAAACTACTGCAGGTAAGCACTATGCAATTTGAAATCATTGTCAGAAAAATACTGTTATAGTTTTTTTCCAAGTAATACATAGCATATATTTTTTTAACTATTATGTACTGGTTCTTATAAGCTTGTCATTTTGGAGTACAGTATTTTGGCAGAGGTTAAACATGTCCTATGTTGGCTGTAAGAATTGTTAATATTATGTAATTGTAGATAGGTAAAGAAAAAATAAAATTAAAAACATTAAGCAAATTATGAAATGTTACTTTGAAACTTATTAATCTGTATTACTCTAGTGTGTATTAAAAAGTGCAGTATCACAGTGATTTCCTTGTTTTCCATGTGGTTGCTGTGCTGGAATTAATCTAATTCTTTGTTCTTAACACAGTTGCACTAGCATATGGAATTTATAAACAGGATCTTCCTCCATTAGATGAGAAACCAAGAAACGTAATATTCATTGATATGGGACATTCTGCCTATCAAGTCTCAATTTGTGCTTTTAACAAAGGAAAACTTAAAGTAAGTAAATAAATGATTCATAATATTTAACTTTAATGGTTAAGAGCATGTAAAACTATATAGAGAACCTTAATCCTTGGGTTTAAATCTTGGCTCTGTCACCTAAAAACTGTGACCCTGAGCAAATTACTTATCTTCCCTAAACCTTGGGTTTCTCACCTGAGGATGATGTCAATAACTATTTCATAGAATATTTGAGGACAGAATGAGCTATTGTATATAAAATGCTTGGAATGTCTTATAGTCGATACTGTAATATGCATTAGCTATTTGTATTATCTTTGAGGTGTTAAGTCATCCAGGGAGCATAAATTACATATTTATCCATAAATATACTTAGGGAACGTTTTCAAAACTGGTTTCATTCTTTTTAGAAATTTTTCTATCCAGGAGTCCTAATCGAAATTTTCTACAATGTGGCATTATTTAGTTCTGTGTGCTTATTATCTTTTTGCAGTTTATATTTGTTTTTTTTGTTTGTTTGTTCATTTTCTGCCTACAGTGCCTGGTATTCTTGAGTGGTCTCCCATTCAAGTACTAACCAGGCTTGACCCTGCTTAGCTTCCAAGATCAAATGAGATCGGGCACGTTCAGGGTGGCATGGCCGTAGACTTATATTTGGTTTTATATTCATTTTTACATTGATTATTGTATCCAGACTTACATATTCTCTTCATTACACATATGTGTAGAATTTACATAGAATATGAAAAGCTTTGAGTTATCCAACACCTTTTAGACCCTTTTGTCTCACAGTTTATATTCCTATAATAATATCCTTATAATTAAGAAAATTAAAGGGAAATGACTCATACTGAATATAGGGTAGTTTTCTGTAAAATGGTTTAAGTCTTGGTATTTAGTCTGGAATTTTAATTTAAAAAGATCATTTTATTTTCTTTTTAGTAGATACCTTTGGGTAGAGATCTATAATTTTTGGATTGTATACCCTTTGAAAATTTGATAAAAGCTATGGCCTTTCTCACCAGAAGGATTCACATTTGCACTAGTCACATGCCAACACAGTTTTGCATTTAATTTTGGGTAATACTGGACTTCTTGAGAAGTATATCCATGGATTCTCCATGCTAGTCTGTGGGATGACATCCCAATCAGATTATGTTCACATGTCATGTTTACCACTATTATACCATGCATCCTTGTGAAAAAGTGGGATTCTATTTTTTCAGTAGTCACTGTTGTAGGTAGTCAAACCTGGGAAGAGAGACTCGATGTCTCCTGTGTTTTCAAGAGCTCATGTGTTGAAGTTCTTTGACTTGTCTATTCCTCTTCCACTTGACCACTAGCTGGGGGTTATTGTTCAACAAGCTTACTATATCAAATTTTTGTCTCTCTTCTTCATTTTTTTGGGGGGGGGGGTGTCTCATGAATTCTTTTGTTTCTCTTGTATTTTATAAAAATAGCCTAGTTTTGTTTGTTTGTTTTAAATAATTGAAGGCCTAATTCTTGATTTATAAGTTGACTATTTACCGTGTTTTAGATTTAATCTTTGAACCAGCTTTTCTTGGCTACTTTGTTTTTGGTTACATGCTTGGGACTGTTTTTTGGTTTTAAACTTAGTTTTGGCTTACCTGTTCAGTGCTATTGTAGAACCAGAGGGTATGAAATAATGAAGTTTTAATTATTGTACTCAATTATTTCAGAATTAGAGTTATTTTTAAATTATGATATGTGGATCTTTAACCTAAAGCAGATAATTCCAAGTAGGTAAATATGTTGGCTAAATAAAATAATTATTAATGTGATTCCAAAGTTGGCATCCCTGTGATTTTTGATAAGTTTTTTTGGCTTTGATTTCATTTTAATTTTAAAAGGTTTTTTGTTGTTTTGAAAGCATCTGTATTTGTGAAACTTCAGTTCTGGTTTTTCAATTAAACAGGTCTTGGCTACTACCTTTGATCCATATTTGGGTGGCAGAAACTTTGATGAGGCTTTAGTAGACTACTTCTGTGATGAGTTCAAGACCAAATATAAGATAAATGTGAAAGAAAACTCTCGGGCCTTGTTGCGTTTATATCAAGAATGTGAAAAACTAAAGAAGCTAATGAGTGCAAATGCATCAGACCTTCCTCTGAACATTGAGTGTTTCATGAATGACCTTGATGTTTCTAGTAAGATGAACAGGTACCATGCATGTTTTCAGTTGGAAAAGTGTTTGCTTATTTTATAATGTTTAAGATTCTATTATTTTAGAAAATTTGCTTGATTTTTAGATCTCAAAAAAGTGAATTTTATTTCATTTTCTTACAGGGCTCAATTTGAACAGTTATGTGCTTCCCTCTTTGCCAGGGTTGAACCACCACTGAAAGCAGTAATGGAACAAGCTAGTAAGTGGCAATTACTGGATGGACCATTGAAACTGTACCATGGTGTTACTTGAGTGCTGTGGGAAATGGTAAAAGCCATAAAAGCTTCATGCGTTTTTTTGAAGATTTGTATTTCTCATTTAGAGAAGATTATAAGTCATTTTTTATTCATAAGAGTAGGACACTAGATCTAGGTTTATGAGAACTCCTGGTCCATTTTATTTACATCATAAAACTAATGCTAGTTATATTTGGAGGTGTTTATATGTAAGTATATAGAAGATTCCAGGTAGAAATGGGAACATGATTGCTTTTTGTTAAGTTTTTAGTAATCAGTTGAACATACCTTTTGTGGAGATTTGTGAGATGGACGTTAGAAAATTAAGGAGTCTGAAGAGTCCCTTTACAGCCCATGAGGTCCATCATCTGGACCAAGTGCAGTGCTTGACACGTAGATAATTAATATTAAATAAATTTTGCCTTTTTCCAAAATTTGTTTTTATCTTTTCTTATTTTGAGCAGATAAAAAAAATCTATTTTTACAAAATACTTTCCAGGGTCTACTTTTCACATTTTTATAAAGACTATCTCATTTTTCTCAATTAAAAACATTTTGCTTTCCAGATTTACAACGTGAGGACATAAGTAGTATAGAAATAGTAGGGGGAGCAACGCGAATTCCTGCAGTGAAGGAACAAATCACTAAATTCTTTCTTAAAGATATAAGTACCACATTAAATGCTGATGAAGCTGTTGCAAGAGGATGTGCATTACAGGTATGATTATTAGCCTTTTTTTAGAATGCAAATTTTGCCAGAAGTATGGTGGTAGGCCTAAAGGTAGTTTTAATATTATCTGTTCCAACCATTTGTCAATAGGCTAAAAGTAAATTGAAAGTATTCCTGAAAAGTGAGTCTTGTGTCTATCCCACTTATATTTTAAACTGTCATTATATGCCAGTAACTGTACTGAAAGAAATTTATTTTATGAATTCTTGTAATTATTCCCATTTAAAATTCTTTTGAGATTTAAAAATATTTTATATTAATGTTTGTAAGGTCACAGAAAGTGTACTCTAACACTTAAATTTTAACTAGTTACCATGAAACAGTAATTTTTAAAATGTAACAGTTTTATTACAAGGACTTTAATTAAGGGTAACCTAGGGTATATTTTGTGTTTGTTGATTTAAATACGGTGTACATCTTATTTGCAGTGTGCGATTCTCTCACCAGCATTTAAAGTACGTGAATTTTCCATAACGGACATTGTTCCCTATTCAATCACATTAAGATGGAAGACCTCTTTTGAAGATGGAACTGGGTAAGTTACTTTTAAAGCCTTGATTAGAACTTGTCATAAATAACCAATCGAACATACTTTTATAAATTGAAGGAATTAATGCTTCTTAAAATTTTCAAACACATTTAAATAAATTGTTAGGAAAAAGAGGATATAAAAATAACATCACCTATAAATCATGATGGTGTATTTTTTTAATGAGTATTTTATTATAAAAGTGAAACCTTATTTTCAAATAAACATCACAGTACAGAAATTTAAAAACCTCCATTTGCTATATCTCATCTCCTCCTTAGTCCATTTTACAGAGATAACCATTGTTAACAGCTAAGTGTGTATCTATCCAATCATTTTTAAGAATATCCAAGAGTAAAAGCATGCACTGTTTTAATGCATACATTGATCATCTGCATATCTTCAGTGTAACTTGCTTTTTCAGATGTGTTATATAGTACCTTTCCATGCCAACAGACAGTAACTATTTTTCAACAATTGTGTGTGCCGTAATTAATCTAATATCCTTTAAAGTCATATCCTTACTGTTTGAGCAGTGCTATTAGGAACATCCTTGTACACAACATTTCCTTCTTTAATTGTGTTTGCTTTATCTGTACGATACCTATGTAGAAGTGAAATTGAGCCAAAGAGTATGAACATTATTTTAACTAATACTGCCAAATTATTTACTAAAAAGATTATGTCAATGTATTAGATTACCTCTTTTAGGTCATTTTCTCCTGTACTTATAAACTTAACATTCTAATACTAAAAATAAAGTACTTTGTCATTAAATTGTATTTCTAACTATTGTGAGCTACATACTTTTATTGACATTTATATTTTCCATGACTGCCAGGATCTAAATAGTTTGCTTCCCTATCAAAATAAAAATTTGTGTTTCAAATACTATATTTGACTATTTTTCACAAGTATAGCTTGTGTAATGAAGTAAACCTGGATAAAGTAAATATAGATTATCAATCTGCTCTGAACGTTTTGCATGGCATGTATTAATGTCAATTTTGGGCAAGAAATACTTTCTAAAACTATTTTCATTTAAAGGTATAAGTGATCCAGAGAAAAAATTGTAAGAAAATGTATGAAGAGTTAAAATTGAAAAGTAAATATATCCTAGTAAAGGTAATGGTGGTAGGAAGTTGAGTACTAGGATAGAGGAAAAGATCCATGTATGTGAAATTTTCAAATGGCATAATTAATAGCATGGTGCTATAGCATTACTGTGTTTCTAGGCCACTACAAACAATAGCTGCAAACTATTTCTGTTCCACTATTTAAGTAATAGGATTGCCTTGTAGATTTTAAAATTCCCTGTGCTATAAAGGACATTATTATATCAACTGGAAAAAAATTGAACGATGGAAGATTCAATTATCAATGTAAATTTATAAAGTTGACAGCTGTACTGTGGTTATATCAGAGATTCAATTATCAATGTAAATTTATAAAGTTGACAGCTGTACTGTGGTTATATTAGAGACTATCCCTATTAGGAAAATAAACATTGAAGTATTTAAGAGTAAAGGGCCATAAATGTATGCAACACCCTCAGCTGGTCCAGAAAAAAAAATATACACACACCCCAATAGTGTGTGTGCACTCAAATGATAAAACAAATGGGGTAAAATGTTAAAAGTAGCAAATCTAGGTAAAGGTTATATACAAGTGTCCCTGTTTTTATTTTTGCGCCTCTACGTCAGTTTGAAACTATTTCCATATAAAAGTTCTTTTTTAAAAGAGAGCTAGGATAAAAATGATCCCAAATGACATGTATTTTGGAAACTAATGCATAGGATTTGGTCCTCAGATGTGTGCAAAAAACATCTCAATATATTGGCCTTAAGATATACCTATTCTCAGGTAATTTTTCTCTTTTGTAGGATAGAATTGTCTATTACTATAACACATTCTAAAAACTTTGAGGTGTAAGCCTATCAAAATGCTAAAATCATTTTTTTTTATATTTGTGCATAGAAGTCTTTGTAATTACTGCTTATGAATTAAAAATGAGATAGATTCTGTAATTAGCTTCATAAACAACTTTCGTCTTGTTTTTAACTGAGTATTTTCCCATTTCATTTTAGGGAATGTGAAGTATTCTGTAAGAACCATCCTGCCCCATTCTCAAAAGTCATTACTTTCCACAAGAAGGAACCATTTGAGCTAGAAGCATTTTATACTAATTTAAATGAAGTGCCTTACCCTGATCCAAGAATTGGTAAGAGAACTAAAAAAAAATTTCATAAATTTTGCCTTTTATAAATATGTTGATATTCGAATCAAGGAAACAAATTGATATTTAAGCTAAACCAGCATTGAATGTTTAAAGAAAGATATTCATATTTTCATAACATGCATTTTTTAGTGCACAGAGGTGGTTTCTGGAATAACAGCAGGTTTGAGTACTTTTAATTCGTTTTGACATCTTTATTTAAAATGCTCTGTAATTGGCCTGAAAGGTTTGGGTGAGGGTTATTTTTTATGGAAAAACTCTTTAATCTATAAATTTAAATTGGGTTGTCAGACTCTGACAGTACATTTTAATTTTAAACTTTTGTTCACTGGCAACAACTAGAATGAGTATTATTGGATTAATGTGAAAGTAAGAATAAGAGGCAGTAATATCTATTTTAGTTGAGTAATCTTTTTAGAAGATACAAAGATTGATTTTCTAACATTTAAAAGAGGAAGGATAATTTTTAAGTTTTAAAATTCTCTATAGTGTTTTTGTTGATAGGCTAGAAAGAGGACAATATAAATATTTCAAGTATATTAAAGTGGTAGATATAAATTATTGATGATGGTATTAGTTTGCTAGGGCTTCTGTAACAGAATAGCACAGACTTGGGTGGCTTAAATAATAGACATTTGTCTCACAGTTCTGGAGGCTAGAAGTTCAAAATCAAGGTGCTGTCAGGATTTCTTCTTTCTGAGGGTTTTGAGGGATGGATCCATTCCAGGCCTCTCTCCTTCATTTGTAGAGGACCATCTTCACGTTCACATGATCTTCTCTCTGAATATAAATCTGCTTCTAATTAAGAAAACTGGTTATTGGGTTAGAGCCCACCCTGATGACCTCTATAACGACCCTGTCTCCAAATAAATTCACCTTCCAAAGTACTGGACAGTAGGGACAATGTATAAACTTGGGGAGTACACAATTCAGCCTGCAAGACAGATCAATCTAATCTTTACTACTCAGTTTTTCTGCCTAGTGTTCTCTCCCTCCTGTGATATCATTATATTTGATTTTTTTTTTAAAACAAAACATTAGATTTTTTAAAGCGAATAATTAATATGACTTCTGCAAGTATTAATGAGATAACTTAGCAATTTTGCTATAGGAAAACTCCAGAAAAATTTTAAAATGCTTTATTTATGAATTATCAAGATTATGATTCGTAAAGGTTGTAGCAAAAAGGGGTTAATATCTATTCGGTTTTCATACTCAAAAATTGAATTTTGTTATTTTCGTTTTAGAATAATATTATAAAATATAATTAAAGGTTACATTGCCTTGAGACAGATTGTCTTAGTTAAAATTCCAAATCTCCTTTTTCCTAGCATCAGCGATCTTGGGCAGATTGCTTAACCTTTCTCAGTCTTAATATCAGGTTTCTTAAGGTATAAAAATGGTGATCTGGGGAAAATGCATATCCCACACTAATTTGTATGTAATAATTTTATAATTATTTGCAAGCATCGGAAAGATGATAGTCAAATTATTTAATTAACTAATTGAATTACTTAATCTGAGGCCCGTGTACCGATCACAGCTCTTTTTTCCTTAAGGGAGCTTCACTATTCAGAACATTTTTCCACAGTCTGATGGTGACAGTTCCAAAGTAAAGGTTAAAGTTCGCATTAACATCCATGGAATCTTCAGTGTGGCTAGTGCATCAGTAATTGAGAAGCAAAATATAGAAGGGGATCACAATGATGCACCTATGGAAACAGAAACTTCATTTAAGAGTGAAAGCAAAGATGATGTGGTATGTAGAAATCAGATTTCTCTGATAAATATACAGCATCTTAATCATAACCGATACTTTTAATAGCTGGAAATGTTAATCTTTGAGATTTTGCTCTGAAGTTCTGCTGTAGGAATCAGTTTAAATTTTTTAAATAAAAGCATCAGAATAATTTTATTTTAAATGGTGTACATCTTTCACATGGTAAGTTTTCAGAGGCTGTGCCTTTTTCATAGCATTATCTGGAATGTGTACATATGTGCATTTGGATTCATCTTTCCTAAATCCTCTTTATTTCCATTAAAACTATGTATTATGGCTAGCTTTTTCATCTTACAAATAAAACCAGTCAATTTGATAAATTTTGAACTATACACACACTTATTTTTAGATTAAAAGTACATGCTTAATAAAGGATTTTTCAAGGCTTAGGGGATACAGTGGCAGTTAAGCAGAAGAATGTGCTGTATATTCAATACACTAAAATACATATTTTTAACCATTTATTTCTTTATGAAAGAGTTTGCAACCCTAACTATTCTTGATGTTCTATAGATGAAGGACTCTTAGGAGAATGTGAATTGTATTCCATTACAAAAAGTTTTTATCTTTTTGTGAATAATATTTGTTATTCTTAATGCCATTTGTTAGATTTTTGTCCAATCATTACTGGAGATGTCTAGATTTTTTTTATATATATATTTGTACATACTAAGAATGGATTTTGGGTGTCAAATGAGTACAAACTTATTGAGGGATCACCTTTTAAGTTATATAAATGTTTAATCCCTGTGTTGTACACCTGAAACAAATATAATAATATGTATGTCAACTGTAAAATAATAATTTTCTTTTGTCAAATTTCAAGACAATCTCTTCCTTGTGAAGGTTGTCTTTTTTGTGTTTTTGTTAATATGTACTATAAAATCTCCAGATTTGATCAGAATTATACCACTGCTCTTTAAAGTACTTCCTTTAAGGATCATGGCATTTTCATTCTTCTCATGTATTATTTTGCTATTATATCCTTATTTCCTTCAGTTGAGAAGGAAATGTCCTAATATGTTACGAAGATACAGTCAACTTTTCATAAGTTAACACAAGAAAAATAAGTGAAAAGTTAATTGTAGTTCACAATAACTTGGTGGCAGACATGTACATTTAATCCGTTATGATTAATTTTTACTAAAATTGAGACCACTCTGTATTCCTTCTAGGATGAGTTCTTTAGGACCATTTTCTTCTTCATTTTTTCTTAAAATTTCTACTGAGACTTTCAGTTTTCTCTATGTCATGTTAGTGAATCCTGGACACTAAAAACAAGAATAGTATGGTACCCATTTTCTGCCACCCTAGTTATTTCTAATTTGCTGTTGCTTGTTAATGTATCTGAAATTGGGATGGGTCTTGGAAATGATCATATTTTATATTCACTGTTGCCAGTGGCAATAATAATGGCATAGTTCTCATCACCTGTAACGTGAACTTAGCTGTTGTTATTCCTTATGGCATGAGTAGGCAGTTGCAACTCCTTGACATTTCAGTCACCAAATTCAGGGAAGAAACACAAGTTCTGATCCAAAAACAATCTACTGACTGCTGATGGTGTGATAAAGAAAACACCATCATAAAACTTGTAGAATAGGTGTCATTTTACTTAACCATTATTTGTAATTATTCTTATTTGAAAAATGAGCTTCTACTTTACTGTGTTCACACAGTTCAAAACAGGCCTGAACTCTAAGATGATGTTTATTTAAAAAAAAAAAAAAAGAAAGAAAAAAAAAGAAAGAGAAAGAGAAAGAAAAAGACTGCAAATACTACCAATTACATATTTTCTTTCTAGGATAAAATGCAGGTTGACCAAGAAGAAGGTCACCAAAAATGTCATGCTGAACACACCCCAGAAGAGGAAATTGATCATACAGGAACCAAAACAAAGGTTTATTTTACTATTTATTTGGTTATGTCTTTTTGAGATTGATAATTTGAGTTAATATCTGTACTTTATAGTGCATGCTTTTAATACGCTTGATTTTTTAATCCTATTACTTTGGAAACGTGTAGAAAACATGAAACCAGAATAAATACATTTCAAAGATTTATATTATAGAGGATTTTTTAAAGAATAAACTCTGACAGTACTATAAGTAAAATTAACTTTTTGGTAGGAAAAATGTGTTTTTTTGGTAACTTCTCATTGAAAATCATATAATCTCAGAGAAAATAGAAAACAAAAGAGGCTAAATGAAAAAAACTTAAATTAGCAATAACCCTGCATCTCAGAGTTAACCACTGTCAGCATTTGGCTGCATAATATAAAATATTTTTCTTTGAGCAAAAACAAATATTTTTGAAGGTAAAAATTTAAAAGATAAATAGTTCTGTTATTAAGTTATTATTTTACCAAGACAGTCGTTAACCAGTAAAAGAAGTGAGAGAAGACCCTGCTCCAATCACCCAGATAAAATGTGGCTGTAACTCTAACCTAAAGAAAATTTAATGTTTTGGTTAGCTGTATAGATTTTTTTTCAAAGGTTATAAAGACTCAGTTTTAAATCCTAGGCTCTTAAGTAATTTAAAACCTGAAACCTATTTTTCTAAATTTTTTATTTTACCCAATATTTTTTGCTTTTAATTGTTTAACAACTTCTTTAGGATATAGATTATATACCATGCAAATCGCCTATATAAATGTACAATTCAGTGGTTTTTTATTCTCATAGTTTTGCAGTCATTGTCACAATCAATTTTACAACATTTTCATCACCCCAAAAAGAAGCCATGTATCCATTAGCAGGAACTCCCTATTTTTCCCCAACTCTCTCCCTGCCAGCTCTAGGCAACCACTAATCTTTCTGTCTCTAGATTTGCCTAATCTGGACATTTCATATAAACAGTCATACAATATATGGTCCTTTGTGCCTGGCTTCTTTAATTAATGCTTTCAAAGTTCATCCAGGTTGTAGGATGCATCAGTACTTCATTTCTTTTAATGGCTGAAGAATATTGCATTGTACGGATGTGTACCATATTTTTACCCATTCATCAGTTAGTGGACATTTAGATTTTTACTCGTTTGACTCTTATGAATAGTGTTATTATGAATGATCATGTACAAGGTTTTGCATGGACACGCATTTGCATTTTTCTTGGGCATGAACCTGGGATTGGAATTGCTGGTCATATGGTATCTCATTGTTTAATATTTTGAGGAACTGCCCAACTGTTTTTCCAAAATGGTTGCAATATTTTAGTCTTGCCAGCAATGTATAAGGGTTCCAATTTCTCTACATCTTCACCAACTCTTGTTATTTTCCATTTTTTAAATTATAGTCATCCTATGGGTATGAAGTGGCATCTCATTGTGGTTTTAATTTGCATTTCCAGCCCAATATTTTTTTATGTAGAAAGATTAAATGTACAGAGTATAAAATATCAGAATTTTTAGTAGTATTTTTAAATGGTAATAGTTTTGTTTGATTTTACTTTTTTGTTTCATCTGAAATTACTTTCTTAAATCTATTTTTAAGCTAGTCTTAGAAATTTACAGTATTATTTTCCTCTTGTATTTGTTTTGCAGTCAGCTCCCTCAGACAAACAAGACCGATTAAACCAAACCATTAAAAAAGGGAAAGTCAAGAGTATTGAGCTACCTATCCAGAGCAGCTTGTGTAGACAATTGGGCCAAGATCTTCTCAACAGCTACATTGAAAATGAGGTATGTAAATCTGATTTGAGGTCAAAATAGGTGGTGGTGTATTCTCAAATTTTTGTAGAAGTTGATGATTGATTATTCCCCAGATTTGGGGAACTAGTCTATAACTCCTAAGGAATTATGAAATAGCTCATGTAACTACTTTATTTTAGATGAAATATTGAGCTGTATTGATATCATGTACAGTGTAGTTTTCATCTTAGTTACATGAAAACATGGAATGTCTCCACTATACAGACCATTCCAAAAGTAATGATTCTTATCTCCTTTTATTCTGTCTTTACCAGTAATTCCCAGCAGATGTCATATGAGGATTAGCAGCTCTCGTTTTCTAATGTGTTGTCTTTGAAGATTGACTCTCTTCAAAATGCTTTCTGATTTACATTTCATAATACTTTTTTAAAAATCTGTTGTCATTATCTTGAAAATTTCTTTACATGTCTAAATGTTTAATTTTAGTCTCTTGAAAAAGAGTTTTGTTTCTTTACCAATAGATATGTAAGAAGTAATTTATTTTTATTTTTAAAATAGACATTTAAATGGTAGTTCCTAATTTCTACAGGCTTGGCTAGCATTAAAGGTCAGTTTTGTTTGAAGTGCCCTAATATTCTCCCTTCTGCTGCACATTAGTCTAGGAATTTCTTCAAGAGATTTTGCTTTACAGTGCTTGTTCTTTTTGTACCTACCTATACCACTATCATTAATTATTAAAGGCTGCATTTTATGTGAAGCAGCCATTCCTGGAGACCCTGAATAATTCAGAATTTATATGTTTGTAGACTAATTTACCCAAAGGAATGAATTGTGGGGAAGTGCACCTATGGCACATTGTGGGTATAAAATATTTCTTAAATTTTTAAGTGTCTCACTATTTTAAATTCACAAATGTCAGTGCATTGCAGTCTTGTGTTTAAAATACTGTTTTTGTTAAGTGAAAATTTTGTTCTTTATTACAGTCCTCATATTTCTTTGCTTTTGATTACAACAATAATAATACTTGCTAACATCTTTAAATACTTTGATGTCTTCAAAACAACCCTGCAGTGTATAGTTACTGCTAGACATTTACATTTTGCAGATGAGAAAACAGGAACAGGTAGACTAAACCACCCAAGCTCAGAGAGTAATCTTCAGTTTGGATCAAGGTAGTCTGTCTCCAAAGCTCAAGATCACAACCACTATATTATATTCCCTCCCAGGGCTAATATTTTTTCAGCACCAGTTATGTGCCAGATACTGCACTAAATATTTTATGTGAATTATGTTAATTTTATTAACAGCTCTGTGAACTAGACAAAAGTGTGCTCTAATTTAGGATAAGAAAACTGAAGTTGAGAGGGTCGGTGACTCTTCTGAGACCTCAAAGCTAGTAAATGGGTAATCTAGGATTTGAACCCAAGTATGCACAATGATATAGTCTGTGTAGGTTTTTTAAAATAGCTTTATTGAGATACAATTCACATACCATACAATCCACCCATTTAAAATGTGCAATTCAATGGATTTTGGTACAATACATTATTGAAATTTTTTAATTGTGGCAAAATATATATAACAAATTTTGTATTTTGACCATTTTTAAGTGTACAGTGATTCAGTGCATTAGTTATATTCACAGTGTTGTGCAACCATCACCCCATCTCCAAAACATTTCATCACCTGAAACAAAATCTGTAACCATTAAGTAATAATTCACCATTCCTCCCTTGCCCCAACTCCTACCAAACGCTAATCCACTTTCTGTCTTTATGAATTTGCCTATTTTAGATAACTCATAAATGCAATCATATATTTGTCCTTTTGTGTCTGATTTATTGTACTTACTAAAATGTTTTCAAGGTTTATCTGTGTTGTATATCAGTACTTACTCCTTTTTATAGTAGAATAATATTCTATCATGTATATGTACATTTTATTTATCCATTCATCTGTTAATGGACAATTGAGTTGTTTCCACCTTTTGGCTATTATGCATAATGCTGCAGTGAACGTTCGCATATAGATATCAGTTTTGAGTTCCTGCTTTCATTTCCTTTGGTTGTATACCTAGTAGTGAAATTGTTAGCTCATATTATAATTTTCTGTTTAGCTTTCTGAGGAACCACCAAACTGTTTTCTGTCACAGCTACAGTATTTTACATTCCCAAAAACAGTGTTACAAGGGTTTTGTATTCTCCACATCCTCACCAACACGTATTTTTATTTCTTTGATTTAGTCATCCTAGTAGGTAGAAGTGGTCTTTCATTGTGGTTTTGGTTTGTATTTTCCTAATTCCCTAATATTCTTAATGGCAGCTAATCTGAAACTTTTTGAATAGGGGAAGATGATAATGCAAGATAAGTTAGAGAAAGAAAGAAATGATGCTAAGAATGCTGTTGAAGAATATGTATATGATTTTAGAGACAAGCTGGGGACTCTCTATGAAAAATTCATCACTCAAGAAGTAAGTCTAAATTTTATAATTTTTTTTTAGACCTATTGTAAATAAATATATTAACTGTGTTATTGTCAGTCTTCTTGAGCATATTTAGAAATGGTTCTTGGTTATTTTTCCAGAATGTAGAAGTTAGTGAAGGGCATGTTTATGAATAAAAAGTCAGAAAAATATGAAATTTAATATTTTATACTTGAAAACATTGTGTCCTTCCTTGATGACTTTTATTTCTAAGAAGAACATTTTTAATCAGTTTCTCTTTAACATATATCTAGGACTTCAGTAAACTGTCTGCAATATTGGAAGACACAGAAAATTGGCTTTATGAAGAAGGAGAGGACCAACCTAAACAAATTTATGTGGATAAGCTTCAAGAGCTAAAGGTAAAATTTTAAAAAGTTCATGTTAGTGTTAAATCGAACATTAAGTTTTCCTAAAAATTACGGATTAAGAGCACAGTGTACTTTTAAAATAAATATGTAAGAAATTACTCAGGCACATAGATATGTGAAATAAGAAATGTTCTCATTTTGAAAGCATTTTGGTAGGTGAGTAATGCTACATAATTGAAATCAAATAATGTATAATCATTTTTGTCTATCATGCTACTCAGATATAAATATTTAGAACATGACTAGAGTGTATTACTTTAACAAGCTATATATTTCTGAGCTGCCATTAGAAGTCATTTTGTCAACCAGACCCCTTCTTATCCATCAGAGTAGTCACCTTTCTGCTTCTCTCCCCCTTCACTGTTCTGACTTTGAGAAGTTATACACTGTCCTTTTGTATTTTCACATTGCAACTGATGGAGACATCCTGCCAGTGAAGAACTTCAAAAATAGCACCCCTGCTCTTGAATGAATAAAGAGACATGGCCACCAGGTCCCCTTTTTCTAGGTCAATGCTATGATTTTAAGAAAAAACACTGTTACTCCTTTCCTCCTGCTTGCTCCCCAACTCTCCCCAACCCTGAAAAGGAAAAGTTTGATTAGAAATTCGGATTAGAAAGATGACAGGAAATTTTAGTCTTTCATTTTTGTGGATCATAGCAATGCTTTAATGTGCACATGAATTATCTGGGGTTCTCAGTGAAATGCAGATTATGATTCAATATATCAAAGTGGGCTCATGATTCTACAGTTCTAACAAGCTTTCAAGAAATTCTGATGCCACTGGCCCTGAATCATTCTTTGAATAACAAGGGAATACATAGGTGCTAAGTGATGACATTAATGATTTCTAGAGTATGGGAAAGGTGGGATGCAAAAGAGGTTACTTAAAACCCAAATAAGTTAATATCTTGCAATAATTACTTTGATGCCGATAAACTACTTTCAAAGGGAATAATTAGAAAACCTAAGCTTATGATAGGACTACTGAGTTTTATCATATTTTATCTTCTTGCTGTTTTACTCCCCATCCCCCTAAGAGAATTACATATCTGGGGACATAGGAACTTCCAGGCAGCTGAAGCCAGTAGAAATAACTAGAAAAGCCCAGAAGCACCCAAAATGTATTATTTTGCCTCAAGTTTGTAAGTAACCATAAAAATGAATGTTATAGAAGTTTTCATACACTTTATTTTTTTTGAGATGGCTTTTAGAAATTAAAAATGCAGCATTTTCTCCCCTTTCAAAAACATGTACAATAAAAAATATGACGTAAATAGACTAAAGGCAATATGTTATCCTGGAACAGAAAAAGATGAAGTCCAAATTAAGTCTGGAATTCAGCTCATAGTAATGCACCAGTGTTAGTTCCTTCACTGACAAATGTACCACAGTGGTGTGGCGTTAACAAGAGAAAAGCGATGAGAGCTGCTTAGCTCTCTATTATTTCCGTTGTAACTTCTGAAAATCTAAAATTATTCTAAAGTAAGCTGATTTTTATTTAAGTATGTAAAGAATTTGAAAGAAAATATTCATTCTTCTAATGCATCTCCCTTCTCAGAGTTATAGAGGCTGTTTTATCATTAAGAAATTCCCCACTGCAGACACCTAGGGTAAGAGGTCAAGGTTCTTATTTTTAAAACACTACACTCATAATACAGTATACATTTTAATCTAATGAATAAACTTACTAGACATAATATTCAGTATCTTCTGTTAAGTTCTATTCTGTTAATAACTTTTTCTTTAAAAAAAAAATTTCTTGTGTTAACAGAAATATGGCCAGCCTATTCAGATCAGATATATGGAACATGAAGAGAGACCAAAGGCTTTAAACGACTTGGGAAAAAAGATCCAACTTGTCATGAAAGTGATAGAAGCATACAGAAACAAGGTATTGGATTGGTAAAGCCAGCTGATGATGGTGGCATGTGTGCAGTACATGGCCAGCATGGGGTAGATCTAAAAGTTCTCAGCTGCAAAGCTACAGCAGTTGTTGCTACCGAGTTGCAGAGACATTATGCGCCAAACTTGATACTTATTTTTTTATTGAAGAATTATTAGTAAAGGATACTAATGCATTTAAAATACAGTACAAGTATGGCTTTAGTATTTTTAAGCTCCCTAAAACCACATTTTAAATTAATCCAGTGATCAAATCCATTGTTTTCTTCTTAGGGATTTCATTATTAATACAGTGAAAAAGAGGTTTTCTTGGACCTGTTTCATTACAGGCCTCTCTGAGACTGGACTCTGCTAGCATTTATTTTGTCTTTTGGCCTTTTTTTTTTCATTTGGTTTCTCTTTGTCTTCTAGTCCATTAGTCATTTGTAATCCTCTATACACATTATTCTTTTATATACGTACACAAATCTGTTACTACTCTTGACCTTGCCACCGATTTTAAGCCTCATATATTTAGTTTGAGGCTTAAATAATATAAATAAAATATAATATCTCTATTGGCTAAAACCACAAGATCTGACAGAATTAATCTTATCATTTTTCCCTCTAAACCGAGATTAGATGACATTTTCTTTAAGTGAACAAATAATAAATGTAAGGTTTTTAGGCCTTATCTCTATACAACTATTCAACTGCATTGTAGTGCAAAAGCAACCGTATATGATACATAAATAAATGAGCATAGCTGTGTTCCAAAGTGACTTTATTAAAAAACGCAGGTAGCAGGTTGGTTTTGGCCTGCATGACAAGTTTGCTACTTTAAACATTTACTGTAATTCTCTACTTTTTATCAGTGCCATTAAATTAAATTTAAATTGCAGTTAAAACTGCATCAGTGGGCAGGAGAGGCTAGTACCAGAAAGATTCAAGCAGAGTATCATAATAATAGCTTATGTTGATCAAGCACTTAGTGCTATTTTAAGCACTTTCACCTGGATTGTCTCACTTTATTCTCACAAGGATATGCAAGAAAACTGCAATGTTTTAGCAACTTGTCAAGAGTTACACAGGTAGTAAATAGTGGGGTCAAGATTAAAACCTAAGCACTCCAAAGTTAACATACGAGTTCTTACCTATAGTGTTTTTACTACACCATGTGGAAAGAGGTTACTTATTTTAGAAAAAGATTTGTGAATTTTATAAAATAAGATTGCAATCCAGGCCACCTAGAACAATCCAGGTACTGATTGCGAATGTGCTTGCCAATGCCAGTGTCCAAATTGTCCATACAAATAGAATATAAAGCTAATGGAAAGGTAAGAAGGAACAAGTAAACAAATGAAAACAACAAGACTATTTCAAATTTGGTGTTGGAGATTCCCATACAATTACTATGCCACAGTGTACCCAGGCTTTAGCAGTCTTCTTGAATGTCCAGGTTTAAGATATTGTCCAAAACAAGGTGAGATTTGTGTTCAAGGAATTTGAGTTTTTATTGTGCACCAGGCTCCTTTCAAGATGAGAGAACTACAGCATCAAACAAAACATGGAACCTGTTTCTAATATGTTTTGGTGGGGAAAGGTAAATAATAAGTTACTGTAAAGTCCGATGGTGATAAACGGCATGGAAAAAGTAAGGGACTGCCAGAGGTGGAGATGTGTCAGAATGGCAGACTAATAAGATGACATATATGTGAGGGGAGAACTGAAAGAGGTTAGGGCTCAAGAAGAAAAGTTCTAGTAAAAGTGAATAGCAGTTCCACTGTTTTAAGCCACACTGGCTTCCTTGCTGTTCCTTCAACACATTCTCCCTCGAGGCTTTTGGAACTGCTATTATTCTGAGAATAGAAATTCATTGGAAGTTTTTGAGCATAGAAGTAATGTGATTTGATTTATTTTTAAAGGCTCTGGAAGCAGAGAGACTAGTGAAGGCATTATTAAAATAATATAAGAAAGAAATGATGAGATGTTTAAACCCAGATAGTGGAGAGGGGGAGAAGTGGTTGGATTTTTGCTACATGTATTTTGAAGGCAGAGCAAATAAGATTTGCTGATACTTTTTATGTTAATATAAGAAAGAGGAGTTCAAATGACTCCAAGTATTTTGGTCAGAAGGATGAAATTGCCATTTACTGAGATAGAGAAAACTGGGGGGTGGTAATCAGGTGTTTGAAATATAGGCAGTCATCTCAGACTTTACAAATAGAAATTCACTTTGGAAGCTGGATATAGTTGGGATTTCAGGGAAGAGGTTCGAGGCTAGACATTTTTTTAGAGCATGTAGATGGAGGGATGAATGGGGAATAACTGAAGAACTGATCCATGAAGTTGGGAGAAATTCAAGAAAATGTGGGGACCCAGGAGTCAATGATGATGGATGCATAATTTGTAAACAGATAAGCAGAAAGAAGAGTTGAGTAGCTGACGAAGCTTTATGGTTTTGAAAAATGGCATCACCACCATCCTCTCATTTCTTTGGCTCTGGAGTATTTCATTCTCTTTTCCTTTATTTTCCTTGTCCAATGTATAATCAGGAGATCCTTTTTTCATATGTTACATTGCCATTTCTTTCTGGTTGTGTGGTTAACAGTCTAAACCATGGCTTCTTAGATTGTCTTCTATGTGTGGCAGTTGCATTTCTCTTTTTCAGATGATTTTAATATGTAATTCTCTTTATCAACTTATCATATTGTTTTGTTGTATATTCAGAATTTTCTGTCTAGTTTGCTATATGCTTGCTTCCTGTATTTCTCTTTATTCTCTAATAAATTCAATTCCATGTAGCTTCTTTCTTGTCTAAGTACCTGTCCCTTGAATATTCACCACTAGTCATTCTTTTCCAAACCTGACTACTTCAGAAAGCCTTTCCTTTTAAGCACCCACACTAATTTTTTTCCTTTCTCCCAGTCTTTTCAGTTCTATGTAATTTGTATGTGGCTTCTTCATGTGAGTACATGTGAGGTATATATTCTATAAGAATCTAAATCATTTAAGTGGAAATTATTAATAAATTGTTACTGAAAAATCTGTTACATTAAGATTTTTTTTTTAATAGGATGAAAAATATGATCATTTGGATCCTGCCGAAATGGAAAAAGTTGAAAAGTATATCAGTGAAGCCATGAGTTGGTTGAACAGTAAGATGAACGCACAGAACAAACTAAGTCTCACTCAAGATCCTGTGGTGAAAGTTTCAGAAATAGTTACAAAGTCAAAGGTAAGAAACCATAAAATTCTCCTTTTAATGGGTTCAAGCACCAAAATTTTTTAGTGGAAGCCATACTTTGAGAAATAATCAACTTGCAAAAGAACTTAGCAAAACAAATTTAGGGCTAATTTTTTTTTTTATTTTGAAAAAATAAGATTCTAAGTGGGACATCTCTGTTCCTTGATTTAGTCAACATACACATGGCTGTTTTGTAAATTTTAAGTGTAATGCAGAATGAAAGAAAGCAATGTGACAACTTTTGACAGTCAAATGTTAGACTTGGAAAGACTTCCAAGTCTCAAGTCTGCATTGTAAAACCTTGGCAGTATAGGCCTGTCTTTGATGTAATTACATGGTGAAATCTTATTTCTGAGCTAAACTTTCCAGTCTAAAAAACATTACTAATGAAAATATCAAACTCATAGAAAACATGAAAAACATGGGGACAAACTTTTTAATAAAGATCAGCATCTAAGTAGAAAAATGAGTAAAAATTTTGGAAAGTAGTTGACAAAAGAAATACATGTTCCATAAAAATATGAAAAGGTGTTCATCCTCATCACTAATCTACAAAATGCAAATCTCTTCTTTCACTCATCCGATTTGGTTGTATATTTGTTTGCATTTATAATCTTTGCCATAGTTGTCAAGGATGGGAAGAAATTTATTACAACTTTTCTGGGACATTGTATCAGAATATGTATAGAAACTTAAAATGATTAGACTCTTCAATTCAGAAATCACATTTCTAGGAATGCATTCTAAATTGATCCTTGTACGGGTATATGTAGATTAAATAATTGTTTTTAACTGCAAAAAATCAGAAACAACCTAAATACCTATAAGTAAGCAGCTAAATGAATAAATTGATACATCAATAGAATACACTGTAGCCATTAAATATATTTTAGATGTCGATATATCTATTTAAAGATGTATACAACGTATTGAGTGAAAAAAAGAAACATCACAGAATCTAAAGCTCTCTCACTATAAATTACCCATGCACATTGATTTATATACCTATATAGATATGCCTGGACATACATGTAGAAGGATCTTTACCAAAATGTTAATACCTGTAGGAGATGGAATTTCAGGTGATTTTTTTTTAATCTAGTTCAGTATGTTTTTCGGTATTTAGGTATTTAGCCTTTTTAAAATAGAAAACAGGTATTTCTTAAATAGAGCACTAAAAGTATTTTCCTTTTGAGAAAGTTTTACAAAACTGTAATAATTAGCTGATTTCAAAAAGTAAAGTTAGTATGTATATATAATTTCACTTACTAAAATTGTTTTCATGTAAATGTTGAGAAATATCAGTTAACTAAATAGATGTTGATATAATGCTCCTAACAGCATTAGGCATAATTTAAAGGAATGAATTAAAAATTATCCCCAACACTAATTCAAAAAAATATATGCATCCCTGTGTTCATTGAAGCATTATTTACAATAGCCAAGATACCTAAGCAGCCTAAGTGTCCATTGATAGATGAATGGATAAATAAGATGTGGTGTATATACACTGTGGAATACTCCTCAGCCATAAAAAAAGAATGCAAATTGCCATTTGTGACACTGATGGACTTAGAAGGTATTATGCTAAGTGAAATAAGGCAGAGAAAGACAAATACCATATGATTTCAGTAGGGTGGAATATGAAACAAATGAACAAATAAGAACAGAAACAAACTCATAGATGCAGAGAACAAACTGATGGCTGCCAGAGGGGAGGGGGGTACAGGGATGGGTGCAAAAGGCGAAGAGGGGAATAAGAGGTCCAAACTTCCAGTTATAAAATAAGTCGTGGGGATGTAATGTACAGCATAGAGAAAATACTCAATGATATCATGATAACTTTGTACAGTGACAGATGGTTAACAGACTTATTGTGGTGATCACATCATAAGGTATATAAATGTCAGATCAATATGATGTACACCTGAAACTAATATAATATTGTATGTCAACTATGAGTAAAAAATGAACTTTTAAAATATATTTTAAAATTAAAAATTATTCCTGCCTAAGTAAACTATATTTTGAATTGTGAAGAACCAATTTTTAGGAAGATTAGATACAAAAAGTATTGTTAAAGATTGAATAGTTTCCTGTCACCACTTACATGCACTAGCCTAAAAGGTATAAATCATTGAGGTATTGAAGAAACAGTTGGTTATCTAACTGAGCCAGCATAAATCCAGGAATGTGGAATTACATGGAAATTTATAAAGTTAAGGCAGAATTTAACTGTACTGTTTTTAATACAAGCAATTTTCTTCATGTCTTTAGGAACTGGATAATTTCTGTAACCCCATCATTTACAAACCAAAACCTAAAGTAGAGGTTGCAGAAGACCCAGCAAAAGCTAATAGTGAACACAATGGACCAATGGATGGACAGAGTGGGACTGAAACTAAACCAGATCCAACAAAAGACAACTCACTGCATACTAAATCTTCTGGGGAGATGGAAGTGGACTAAGTCATAATTTTATCTTCACGAAATTCAAACAGTGCAAGTAACCACGGGGTCCATTCTTCTTTTACATCTGGCACACACAACAGATGTTCAGTTGTTCTTAACCACTTTTTGTCATTTGTTTTTTGGAGTAGTTTTGAAAAGTGTTTTATATTGAGTACACCTCTGTTCATTTCCATTGCTGCTTATGTGAAGCGCTAGCTGAATATAGATTTACAAGCCAGTTTAAGCTTTCCTAATATATTTTATATCAAACGTGCAAGATTGATACATAGTTGGCAACAACTTACCTTATTTAAAGCTTCTAAGTTGATAAACTTCAGCTCTTTATTTGGGAAAGGATACTGTATTGCACTATTGTTGCAGAAGCATAGATTTAACTGCATCATTTTGAAAAACAAATATTGATATTGATGTGGTTTAAAGCCACTGAGGCACTGACCTTTTTCTAGTGATTGTATTGTTCTAATTTAAATATTAAAGCAAATAAGAAGTTCCTCCACAAATTAGTCTATCTCATTGGTATGCCATGAGGACTCCAAAGATTTGTTGTTATCACATAAATGAAACAAATCACACTTTGAAAGGGAAAACACACAATTTTATGTTAAGGTGACACCAGCAATTTTCTTTTTATTAGTAATGTGGATTTATGTTTTCTCACAGTAATTCAGTGTCATTTTCACTTGAAACTTCTGATCTATTTCTCCTGAAGACCTGCTGCTACAAAAGTAATGGCAGCCTTACGGAAGCAAAGTGTTTTTGATGAAAATACCTTCATGTTAAGTGAAAAATGCTGTTGACCTACTCAGACATGCATCTGTGATGTTGATAGCTTTGTTTCAGTTTTAGTAGCTGTTTTAGTTTTCTTAATTGATTCTGTTAATATCTTAGCACAGAGTAGGGAAAAATGGCATAATGTGTTGCATTATATACATTTATTGCTGAAGTACTTAATGTTCAGATATAAACACTATTAAATAAGCAGTAATACTTGAAAAGAAGCACTTATACCATAAGTCTTAGGAAATAATGCTTGTAATAAACTTAACTATGTTACATATCAACAGGCAAAATATAGAATGTTACATAGTGTAATATGGTATGATGTGATTAAATTATAGTTCCTGCTGTTACATTGACCTGTTCAGACCTTGGCTCCAGTTTTGGTGCTTCTTAGAAAAATTATATGGGACAAGGGACTGTGAAATTAAGATATTTTAAGAACTTAATCTGTACTTCATCACCAGACTGGTTCACTTGTTCAGTTTTGTCTACAGGCTTTCACTATGGGAGCAGACTGAAATGATTTTTAAACCTCTAAGAAGCATAGACAGTTCATGGGCTCTTATGTTTTAATGCCAATCAACTAGATTGACCTAGTTTTGAAATTTTGAGAGGCTCACTTTTTCCCAAAGCTAAATCTTTATATTGAGAATTAATACTGACTTTTCTTAAGTAGTAAAAATTGAGAGTTTAATATCTTTAGGGATAGTCATTATTTCTCACAACTAGTTCTCTAAGAGAGATTTCGTTTCTACAATGTAGTCTGCACTGAAAGGAGAGTATAGAAGAGTGCATTTAGAGGGGATTTTTATCCATCCTTTTTGAGAGAGATTATCTTGTTTGCATTAAAAAAATCATATAGCCCCAATATATTTTTAATGTCTTCTAATCGTTAAACTGTCCTTGTTTTAATACTGTTAAAATGAAATAATTATACCCGTTCGTAATAATTGATAAAGTACACTTTTTTAAAGCATATATCAGTTACTTTTCTTTGTATGTTGAATATATAGGTTCATTTCAGGAAAACATCAAAGCTATGAAAGGGAATACACAGCAGTACAAATAGGGAGTTTATAGCTTTTTCTTGAATAAACAAGAACACCTCCACATACTTTGTTAGGAGCTATACTTCAGAAACTTTTGGGAATAAATGTGGGAACAACCCTTTCGTTATCTGAATTTTCTAGTATGTTCTGACATTTTCCATTCCTTCTCTTAAATTGGTTTATGTAGTTCTGTGTTTTGGTCCGAAATATAACATTCCAATTCACTTCTATAACACTTAAGTTAAATACATGCAAAGATTACACATATACTTTTTCTACATATTTATTCAAATGATACTTTCAAAAGCCCTTTAACCTTATAATGTAGTTATTTATTGAATACATTAATAAAAGACAGTGTTCTCCTTAATACAGTTTTGGGTAGACAGTATGGTTTAGTTCATTTTAATCTGCACTGAAATATGCAGTGCTAGAGAAAGATATTTTCAAAAGAAATCAATATTTTAGAAGTTATTTTTAAAACAGCAAAATAGAATGTTTTCCTATAGTAAGCAAATAAAAACTAAGTATGTAGAAAATATATAGGATAATTAATAAATACTGGTACACTTTCTCTATGGAAAAGTATAAATTACTTGGTCTGGGAAACCAACTCCTGATAGTCAATTATACTGTGATTATAAAAACAAAAAATGCTAAATAATATAACAAAATAAAATTGGTAATGTTTTAATTCTTTAGTGGCATACAGAATTCTTAAGTTTTAAAACAACTAGAAGGCAGCACATCAAAGAATGAGGCTATTGCAATAACAGATAATCTGCTTTAAAAAAGTCATTAGACCTTTATTAAGAAGGAATAAAGATTTCTTAGACATTTTCGGGGTCAATTATTATGTTTATGATTATTTTCTAGATAGAAGTCTTTATTTAAAGTGAGTTTTGGGGCTCAGTTATCAATATACAATATAATAAAACAGTAATGTTAAACAATTTTGTCCAAATTAGCACATCTTTAACTATTTTGAAAAACTATTCAAACAGACATTTGAATATAGTGATCAAATTAGCTTACTTCCGTTTGACTCCAAATAGATATAAATATCCTATTGTCATAAATTTGAATTGTAATAGCCTATAAACATTCTCTTTAAAATTTTCTGTTTTAATAGTTGGTCTTTGGGATTCCACACCAAGTAAAACGTTAGCATTAATTTTACATATCAGATTTAGAAGTGATTCTTAAAAGCCTAGAAAAATAGATCTTCATCTCTTTCACCTTTTAGATTTTACAACAAAAAACTTCAGTTCTAAAGTAAATGTTATTTTGTGGTTAAACTTTGGAAATTTTCAGTTTGAAGTGGAATTTAATTTTGTGATGTTTGATTCTGTAAAACTTAATGAGTCATGTCTAATTTATTGATCTATTAATATTTAAAAATCTGATGGCACTGATTAGCCACTGATGACTTTTAAAATGACATAAGTAGGGATGCTTATAAAGTTGGCTTCTAATATTTTATTATCCTTACTATAATATTTTATAGCCATCAGTGATTCAGCAAACTAAATCTTTAAAGCACTCAATTTCAGAAATACAGAATTTTTTATCAAAAGAGAAAAACAGGTTTAAAATTACCTTTTAAAAATTTTTTGTTGTTGGTCAATGTCAAATTTAATCCAAAATATCATTTTAAATAAAATAATTCCCAGGAAGCACATAATCTTTTTAATAAAAAGTAACAAAAATTTAATGCATCTCAAAGACCAAGACTTTTAACCAGAACAAACAAAAAAGAAACTTGAACTAATTTACTTTCACATCTCTAATTTAAAATGCACTAAAATTAATATTCTTCCATGTATTCATATGTTTCCTAAGAAAACAGCTTTTTTACAATATGGCCAGATGTCTAAGTTTTTTGTTTGTTTGTTTGTTTGTTTGTTTTAACTAAATTCATGGGCAGTTGTTTCATACAATGAAAGGGCACCTGGAATTTTTGAGAATGTTAACAAACTGAAACTGCTTTGAAGAGAAAACCTAAATATCTGTGGCAGTGGGCAGTATCTGTAGGTGGTAATGGCTCTTTCATCTTCTAGCTCCCTAAAGGATACCTCTAGCATATTGTTAGAGTAAGTATTAAAAGAAAAAGCACATCTGTTAAAATATATTATTAAATGACTTGGAGCTTTCAAGTCAAAGAAAAAAACTAATACTTTAATCATGAACATTTGATTCAGTCTGTCAAATAGGTCAAAATCCTCAACAACAGAAATTAATAGTATGATCTTTGTTTTGGAATTTCTAACTTACTGTCATGTTCTGAGTCACAGTATGATTAGTAGGAAAATATACTGATACCTGAAAATGACCCATCCTATAAAGAGATAAGTGAAATTCAACATGTCTCAGATAGTTTAATACTGTATTAACTATAAGTGGAAATGGTCTTTAGTGTTTCCTGTTATCTTTAATTTATCCTCCTATTCATTTCTAGATTCTTAAATAATTACATTTTTCTGAAATATATTTTCCTATTTATTTTGGATTATTCTTTATCTTTTATTTCATGCTAGTGTATCACTTTGATAGCTAATTTTATTACCTTTGTCTCCTTTATCTTAACAAATCTTACTGTTAAGAATTTTTTAAAATTAATAGTTGAAAAGCCATGTTCTAAATGTCCATATGTAATATCTCTAACATTTAATAGTTGCTTGATCAAGTAGATTTTTCATATATGACCTTAGAATACTTCTAAGCAGTTCTGGACCAAAAGAGGTCGATTTTGTGAGTACTGAGTTTTAAGTAGCCATTGTCCCTAATTTTTAATCCAACTATCAATGTGACAAAATAACAAGAGTCAGAAATTCAAAATGGTTGTTAAAGATTAGACACCTTCAGTTCTTTGCTGCTTTCTGATTACATACATGGGTTGTGTATCTTTCTTTTTTTTTTTTTTTTAAAATTTCCCTAAATGCTTTTGCTTCCAAGACTTTGAACTAAAATAAAATGTTTTTGAAATCCTATGGACCCACCAAGAATGTAGATGTTAAAATGTAATTAGAGGTGGAAATCTAGGTAATGGAAGCTTTAAAGTGTTGTGTTTTTTACCCTGAAATAAACTTGTGTGGCTTAGTATCTTAGAAGGAGACTCACATTAAAAGTAGTTACCTTGTAATTTGGTAGGATCAAGCCTTTATTGTTTGATACTACAGTTTATAGAAGCAATATTTTAATGAAGGTACCAAATTGTTTAGTACTAACAATATGGCATCCAAGTCATTTTTTTCTTTTCTCCAACCATTATTAAAATAATTTATGAACATTGTAACTGACTCTGGTCATTAGTATAAAATAACTTATGGCAGTTTAGTTCCTACTAGCTAGTAATTTTTTTTAAAGAATAATACATTTCTTAATTTCCCAGTTTGTTTTCAATACAGAACGTGACTAGTGCAATGCAGAAAATCATAAGTGTGATATGTCTATAAAAATAATTATCTGAGTTTTGCATGGGATAGACCCTAGCCTCAATGAGCGGACATGAGAATGATTTGTGATGTTAGGTTGGTAACATTCTAGGAATATATATGTGTGTATATATATACATGTATGTATATATGTATATATATCTCTATATATATTTGGCATATAATTTTGGTTCACAAACATATCCATAAAAATGCTTACATATGTCAGTATCAAAGTATATAAAACATTTTCTATGTATGTAAATTGGCATCTTCATACTGGTGAACAAACAAATGGCAATTGATAATAAACGCAGTTCATTTTGGATGGCAGTGCACCTTGTCAAGAAGTCATGTAATTATAATAAATATGTATCTACTTAACTCCTTTAACTATGATTTTTGCACATTGGAGGTTTAATTTTCACATATTGAACTTCACTGACTTGATGGTGGTTTGTGGACAGGTCAACAGAGTCATTTACAGAAATGTGCTTGGCAATGGTGGTTTTTTGTTTTTCTTTTAATCTTTTTTTTTCTCTTTCGCCTACAGCTCCTGGTCTTCCTAGGTGGTCTCCCATCCAAGTACTAGCCAGGCCAGACCCTTAGCTTCCGAGATCAGACAAGATCGGGCGTATTCAGGGTGGCATGGCCATAGACCAATGATGGTTTTAATTGAGTAAATTGGCAATTTTTTCAACCCCTCTGATGCTGCTGATTTGAAAACTAAAATACAGTTGACTTTTGAACAACATGAGAGTTTGGAGCACTGCCCCCCCGCCAACCCCGCACATTTAAAAATCTGCATCAGCTTAACTAGAGTGGTCCCTTAGTATCCATGGGTGATTGGTTCCATGACACCTTGCGGATACCAAAATCCAAAGATGCTCAAGTCCGTTATTTAAAACAGGGTACAACAGTGCATACATTCAGCTCTCTGCATCAGAGGATTCTCAACTACAGATCAAAAATACTGTTTTGATAGACATTTATTTGAATCTGAGGATGCAAAACCTGGGGATGTGGAGGGCCAACTCTATACATTTATTGAAAAAAAAAAACAAAACCAAAAAACGTGTTGTTCAAGGGTCAACTGCAGTAGTTTGCTAATTTTGGAAACGTAATCAGAGAATAACAGCTTGATGTTGGAAGACACCTAGGGATAAATGAATTTGAAGACTAGATATTTTCAGTAGGCAAAAGGGAGCTCCCTGCCCCAAAGTCTCATAACAGCTCCTTTGACAAAAATATGTCAAATAGCTTAGCATATTGGGATAAGAAAACGATTGAGTTTCCCCTGGTCTAGGTTAGAGCTTTTGGTGCTTATCTTCTAGGAGTTGAACAACTTGTGAGAATTTGAAAGATGATGGATCCTCCCTCCAAAAAAATGTTTAAATCCTCATGTACTTTAAACTTTCCAGTGAAATGCAGTTAAAGTCTAGAAGGCTGAACAAATGGCAGTCCATTTCTATTCATCTTATCCTGAATTTGGGAGAATGGGAGAGGATTTTGTGGATTTTTTTTAAACTTCACTCTCTAATAATTAAATAGGAAAGAGATGATAACTTTCCAGAGGTGAAGGAGAAATGTCTGTTGATTGTAAATACCTCCTAATACTTTATCCTCAAAAATCCCTCCTTTTAAAAGGTAAAAAAAAATAAATAAGTTCAAGATGGTTCACAAAGCCTGGAAATGCCAGAAGGCAAGTTGAAACGTTTGTGTTGAGCAACACTGCTGCACTATTACATCTGGTCTTCTGTTTAACCTCGCTGTGGTGATAAAGCAGTATAAACTTGAAAGGATTTGTATAATGGTTTTAGAGATAGCAAGGATCAAGTTAAAGGTTAATAAACAGGAGATTATTTTTAGTAAAGAAAGTGAACCTTGTTGAAGACAAAGGAAAGAACAAACAAATCACACAAAAGAATAGAAATCCAAATATCAGTAGTTAAATTTAAGTACCATAAACTTGCCAGTATAAAAACTATATGGTGTCTACAAGAAGACACTTGTTAGACATAATGATGTAATAGTTTAAATTGATAGGAAAAAAATGCCAGTAAAATGCCAATCAAAAGAGAAGTTGTGAAACTATTAATCAGATATATCAATTTTAAGGTAAAAAATAAAGGGAATGTTGGGATAAAATGAGAGCTTTAATAATGATAAATAGAGCAATTTACCAGGAGTATAACAATTCTGAAACGACAGCTTCTAAATACATAAAGCTATTGACAACTTTAAAGAGAGGTTTAGGTCCGCAATAACGGTGATAACTGATAGTAAGTAGTAAGTATATAAAAGTATTGAATGCAATTTTAAAAGCTGCTCTAATAGACTTAATAGACTTATGTAAACTGTCACTCAACTATTAGTTAAAACTTTTTAAAGTACACATGGAATATTTATAAAAACTGATATACCATAAACCACAAAGCAAATATCAATAAATACTAAAGACCATTATACAGATTTTCAGACAACAGTACAATAAGATTACATGTCACCTATAAAGATAGCACAAAAGAAATTCCTTATGCTCATATGGTCAAATTGAAAAATTTCTAGTATGGTGTCAGGTGGGTATTAGATTTATTGGGGTGATCACTTCCTAAGTTATATAAAGGTCTAATCACTATGTTGTACACCTAAAACTAATATAATACTGTATGTCAAGTGTTACTGAAAAAAAAATTTTAAATAAAATTAACTTCCAGGAATGTCAAATTCATATTAAAAACCATATTATTTTTCTCATTGTGGTACATAAGAATGCATATAATAAGTGCTCAGCAATCTTTAAATAAATGAAAGCTGAATATAGGACTTTGTAACATGCAACTGAAGCTCTATTTTAGAAGTCTATATATTTTAACACATATACGTAAAATGAAGATTAAAGATTTAATGACCTAATCATTCCAGCAACAGTAAATAAAGAATTTTTATTTATCAACAAAACCAAGACACCTATCTGAAATTTTTAAAAAGACATGCCTCTAGCAAAGTTGATAAAGGAAAACACATAAGCATTAAAGAAATTGATTTTGAGTCAAAAATCTATCCATAAAAAACATACCGACTCCAGATAGTTTTACAAACATATTCCAGGAATGACTAAGGTCCTTTTTAACCTCAATGTTGCAGAAATTAGGAAAATAACACTTCCTAACTTCTCTTACGAAGCCAGTTTCATATATACTCGATACTATACCTGAAAAGTGTTATGAGGAACATAATTACTTTTCCAAACTCTGTAACAAATACAACAAATAACAAAATTTCTAAATACTAGCAAACTGAATTCATGAATATATTAAAAATAGACTATCAAATTAGTTTTATGCCAAGGATCCAGGAGTTATTTATTGTTAGAAAATTTCATTCCCCACATTAACAGATTAAGAAAAAAAATATATGATTATCTAAACAGATGCCAAAAAAATGATTTGATTGCTCATTTATGATTATTAAAAATGTCAAAACTACTCCCTAGTCCAAGCCACCATCTTTCACCTACGTTACTGTAATAGTGTACTAACTGGTCTCCCTGACATCTGTTCCCCACACAGAACTCAAATTGATCCTTTTACAAGTTGAACAGATCATATGTCACTTTTCTGATTAGAACACTCCATGGATCTCCAGAATTCTCAAAGTAAAACCCAAAGTCCTTACCATGGTCAGCAACGTGCTACGTGACTTGTACCATTAACTCTTTTTATCTAATGTTTTACTATATTCCCCCTTGATCACAAAGCTCCAACACAATAGCCAAAATGAAACAATCTGAAGAGGTCTGTATCAAAGAAATTGAATCCATGAGTTACCTTCCAAAGCAGTACCAGGACCAGATAGCTTCGATGAATTCTAAAGACATTTAAAAAATTATACTACTTGTCTACAATTTCCTTCAGAAGACAGAGGGAAAACTCCTCATTCTGTCAGGTCAGCATTATCTTAATACCAACACCAGACAAAGACATTACAAGAAAACTGCAGCCCAATCTCTCTCATGAACATAGATGCAAAAATACTTAACAAAATATTAGCAAATCAAAGAATATATAAAAAGAATTATACCAACTAGAGTTTATACCAACTATGGCCAACTAGAGTTTTATCCCAGGTATGCAAGTATTTTGGGTCCCTGGGCCTAATTTCCAGTGTGGGGATGTGTGTGGTGGGGTGGGGGTGGGGGGTCTTCTTTACACGTCCAAGCAATGCTCCCATACCATACCAACTGAGTGTCCTACAATTCAACTCAATTCTGGAGATAGCATCTGATTCCACAAGTTGAGGGCTCTGTCCCACAAGACTGTCTCCTACTACTGTAATAGTTGCAAACCCAGGTTGTAAGCTGTGCTTCTTACCTACTGACTATAGATTGGAGGTTCCAATGACCCCCTCCTTGGACTCTAGTAGAAAGTTCAGGTTTTTAGTAGAAAGTTGTTACTGCCTATAATCAGAGTTCCCACAACTCTTTTCTTTGGTTCAATTAATTTGCTAGGGTGGCTCACAGAACTCAGAGGAACATTTTACCAGATCACCACTTTATTATAAAAGATACAATTAAAGAACAGCCAAATGGAAGAGATGCACAGGGCAAGGTATGGGGAAAGGGTGTGCAGCTTTCATGCCTTCTCCAGGTGTGCCACTATCTCCAAATGTCCATGTGTTCAATAACCCAGAAGCTCTCTGAGCCCCATCTGAGATTTTATGAAGGCTTCATTACATAGGCATGATAGATTACATCATTAGCCATTGTCAACTGATTCAACCTCTAGCTCCTCTCCCCCTTCCCAGGAGGTCTGAGTGGTACTGAAAATTCCAACTCTTTAACCACACCAAACTATATAAAAAGAATTACCACAGCCAACTTGAGATTTATCTCATGTATCCAAGTAATAGCATGATTCAGGCAATCAACAGCCATCCTTAGGTGTGCTCCAGGTCATAAACATAATGAAAGAGACACTTAAGTTCTCATCACTTAGGAAATTTCAAGGGTTTGGGAAGCTGTGAGCCAGGAATTTTGGACAAAGGCCAAATAAATGAGAAATCTGAATATACTTTGCTTGTCTGAATGACCAAATATATATTTCTTAGAAATCACAGTATCAAAGTCCACCCCCTGGTCTTCAAACACAGATCACTTAGAGAAAAACATATAAGTCAAAATATACTGGCATATTACTAGAATCTCATTCAGTCTTTAAACTATCCAGTCCATCTTATGAAAATGTCTCTGAGGGTGAGGCCATTAAGGTTGCAGGCTTCCATTTGATCTTGTCAGGTTCCAAAAGCAGGAGTGGTCTCAGTAATACATGGTTTCACCCTTTTGAGCATCTGGAAAATTCAGCTAAGAAATACCACCTCTGGCTCTGAGCCTCTTTCTCGATGTTGATGTATTCCTGGATTTTCTTCATTCTATAACCCATTTATTCATTCCCTTGCCTTCAGCTACTGTTCCCCTTCTCTCCAAACTTTTCCTCCTTTGGAAGGGACATTAGGTCTGGCCACTGTGTTGGTCTCCAGTGCGGTCAGCAATACTCATCTAGCAAGTTCTCCCCCACACTGCATTCTTCTTCACATTGGATAAAGTTACATAGATGCGGAAGCAATGGGCTATATAGACCATTAGGCATACCCGATATTAATGGAATAAATGATAAATACTTTCCGCCCAAAAAAACCATAAATGATAACAGTGAATTATAGGGGCTTCAGAAAAGTCAATAGCAAAAGCAAGTCTAATTGGAAGACTGGACTCTGGAACCATCTGTTCAAGCATGATAACATTTAACCTTTAAGGAATGGTTTCAGAAATGAAGGGGGAAAATTGACTTTTCTCTGAACAGTTTTTTTACGGCCTGTAGGTAGACAACCTTAAGTAAACTTGATATATCCATTAATGGAGAGGGGAAAAGTTCGATTTAGAAACGAAAGATCTGAGATTGTGAAGTAGTTCTCAGTTTGCTTTATATCCTTACTGAGCATCACACTTTTCTCACCTGCAGAAAGTGGATCGGCCCGCCCTGATGGAGGTCTCTATTGATCAATACATACATGTCATTACTGTGTGACATCTCTTAAATGTAAGTTATACAAATGGCGTTATTATACTTGAGAGGCATTTGTCAAAATAAAGAATGGAGTTCATCTTCTTAAAGCACAGTACACATTCATTACAGTTCTGAAAACTAGGGAGTAAACATACAGGTGGAAAGGGCGTTAAGCCAGGTAACAGACCCCCCCTCCCCGCCCCGTGCCGTCCTGTCACGTTCAAACACTTGATATTTTAAAATCGTTTCAAACCCCTTACAGAATCAAAAGTTGTTTTTCAGACCGTCCAGGAAGTAAGTAACGGATCAGGTGACAATATCTCACAGTTCACGTTGGCTCTTCTATCCACGGCGCGCGGGCCTCCTCAAAGCTGAGGCGCTGACACTTGCCACTCGAGCTGCAGCCGCCAGGGCACTTCCGGTCCCGAGGCCCGGAAACTGCGGAGGGCCGCCGAGGAGAGCCTGCCACGCATGCGCGCCCGGGCGCAGCCTCTCCGCAGCCACCCGTCTCGTTACGTCACCGCCAGCCTGGCTGGGACGGCAACCGGCGGGAGTTTTCAAAATGGGAGCGCGGAGGCGCCGCCCAGGCTTCGGAAGATACCCGGGAGACATTTCGGTGGTTGTGCCGTCGTCGCCGGGAGCGGCGGCCTAGAGAGCGGAGCCTGATGGGCGCCAAGAACGGCTGGCTGCTTGGAGCGCTGCCTCGAAGGGACTGCGTGAAGGGAGCTGATCCGGGGAGCCCAGGCCGGAGCCTGGAAATATGGCGACTTGCATTGGGGAGAAGATCGAGGTGAACAGACTCAGCCGTCCTCAGCGGGGCGGGTGGGAGTCGGAGTGGCGCGAGTCAGGACTGCTGCGGGAAGGGGACCCGGCGAAGCTAACGGCTGTGGGGCGGGCGCCGAGGTGCTTTGGGAGGGTCTCAACCGCCGGGGGCCCGGCTGTTTGGGGGCGGAGCGTCCCGTCCCTGGAGACTGGGGGTGGCAGGACAGGTGAGTCTCTCTCGGCCCCACCCTCTTGTCCCTAGACACCACAGCTTCGTGTCTGGGATCCCGCCGCAGCTACCGCGCTAAGCAGGGCATCTCCAAGGGGATGGCGGTTACCTCAAGCGGGAGCTGTGGCGGGACCTCGGCCAGACCCTTGGCTCCCAGGAGGTGGCTAGAGGTGGAAGGAGGGTGCGGAGGCTGCACTGAGGTTGAGGTACCAAATCATTAGGCTGCTGTATCTGGAGCCGAGCCTGGAAGCTCAGGGAGCCCCGCAAGGCGTCAAGATGCTTTCCACTCCAGACACCTGCTGTATCGAGGTGTAATACCTGCTTGAATTTTAAATGCAAATTCCCCTTTCGATCCATTTTATCTTCATTTTCCAGCTCCCTCCTATCTTTCTTGTATACTGCTGTGAGTCATCACACATATTCTCTAATTTTAACTTTTAAGGATTTTAAAGTTGGAAATCTGCTTGGTAAAGGATCCTTTGCTGGTGTCTACAGAGCTGAGTCCATTCACACTGGTCTGGAAGTTGCAATCAAAATGGTAAGACTATATTAATCAACTTCGCACCTCTCCTTTGTAAAGAACTAGAGAGGTGTGATACTTGAGATGTCAGAAACTCCTTACCTATCTGCCTTTTCTTTAATTATGCTCTAAAGATCCCATTGCTTAGGCAGAAGACAGTAGATCCCAAGTCCAGCAGTTGAACTTACAGATATCTTAGGAGAGGTTTGACCATGTTTAAATAAGTGTTTTATCTTCATCAATTTTCAGTGGACCTGGTAGCTGTCCTAATTATACATACTTGGAGTAATTGATAGTAATCAAAGGGAAAATATGATTTGTTTATAAGAATACATTTGTGCATAGTTCTGCATTACACTGCAACAATCTAAAATACTATTCTTGATTGTTAGAACTCAGTGTAATAGCAATAACAAGCAATTAAGAATCACTTATCTAAATCAAGGGAAGGGAAGGGAAGGGAAGGTTTTTTTTAAGGACTTTGCCACGAAATTTTTGTTGTTATAAGAATGATAGTCAAACGATTAAATTCTTTAAATTGGGAGAAGGTATTAGGATGCATTGGGATGTCCTCTCTGCTAACTGCGTGGGGAAAACTAAGTAAATTGATCTCATAAAGAAGTAGATAAAAATACTTCAGAATATTTTAAAGTATACTTTCTTTTTAAAGTTAACTTTTGACAACTTCACATTTGAAAATTTATTATCAACATTTAAACCTCTCATGTTACTTTAGATAGATAAGAAAGCCATGTACAAAGCTGGAATGGTACAGAGAGTTCAGAATGAGGTAAAAATACATTGCCAATTGAAACATCCTTCTATCTTGGAGGTAAGATGCAAATTTTATTTAAAAAAATTTTTTTAAGTGGCCAAGGACATTGAATTTTTTGTGTATTATAATTTATTATGCTCTTTTACATTTCAGCTGTATAACTACTTTGAAGATAACAATTATGTTTACTTAGTATTAGAAATGTGCCATAATGGAGAAATGAACAGGTATCTAAAGAACAGAAGGAAACCATTTTCAGAAAATGAAGGTAGGCTCCTTTTTTTCTTTCTTTCTTTCTTTCTTTCTTTCTTTCTTTCTTTCTTTCTTTCTTTCTTTCTTTCTTTCTTTCTTTCTCTTTTTTTTTTGAAGATATATATTTTACTTTATGTAGTTTTGAAAAATATTCTATTGTAATAATTAGTAAAACCATTTTAATTATTACTTTGAGCTATAAAAGGCAGTCTCCCCCCTCACAAATTATAAGAGGTATTAATTCCTATAAATAATGCAAGCATTACAGAAGTAAAGTAAAAGGAGAAATTTTTATTCATTTTTCCCCAAAACCACATTTTAACTTAAATCATTGGTTCCAATTTAGTGTGTACCCTTTTAAATTTAGAAAAAGCTTTTTAGAATGTTATTGATGACAATGTAAGTTTCTAAGTCAAACACAAATAACTATTGAAACCATTTATAATAGAAAATATCAATTATAAATAGAGCAATATAATGAGCCCCCATGAACTTAAAGCACTCAGTTTTCAAAACTATCAACTCAAGGTCAAGTTGTTTCATTTGTATCCTTCTATTGCTCTTAGTTTCCCAGAGTATTTTGAAGAAAATTAGAGACTTCTTTTTATATAGAGATTTTGGTATGCATCTTTAAAAGATGCAGACTTAAAAAAAAAACCCATAACCACAAAGTCATTGTCATACCTAATAATTCCTTACTATCAAATACATAGTCAGGGATGTGGTTTCATAGTGTAGTAGTTAGAACGTCTGTTTTATATGCAGAAGGTCCTGGGTTCGTGCCCCAGTGGAGCCACGGTCCAAGGTCTGTGGCCATGCCACCCATAATAAGCCCCACGTATGATCTTGGAAGCTAAGCAGGGTCGAGCCTGGTTAGTACTTGGATGGGAGACCACCTAGGAAGACCAGGTGCTATAGGCATAAATAATAATAAATAATTTAAAATAAAACACATAGTTTCAACCTCCCTAATTTCTTATAAATAACTTTTTACAGTTCAGATAAGGCTCAAGTCCATGCATCATCTTACAAACAATTTTTTTCAAATTATCTTACCTCGATAACTAAGATTGCAGATAAGCTAAGAAAGGTGGTTACTGATAGGCTTTCTGTACATTTGAATCTATATAACCCATTTGGAAAACAATTTGGTTATATACATTAAGTTATGGAAATGTTCATATTCTTTGACTAAAAATAAAGACATAATACAAATTGGAAATAAATCCATACAAATATTAATGCAGATTACTGCATTTTTCATAATACTATTTAATAGTAAGGCCTTTTTTTTTTTTAATTGGTGACATTGGTTAATGAAATCCAGTAAGTTTCAAGTATACAATTCAGCAGGGATATATATTGTGTTGCATGTCCACCACCCATAGTTAGATTTCTTTCTGTCACCACATATTTGACCCTTTCTACCCTACCTACCTCTCCACTCCCCAGTAAGGCCTTAAGACAAAACCTGCAAAATTTGCAGAAGGAAAATAATTATTAATTTAATTAAAATTAAGAATGTATATGACAAGAGATACTGTCAAGAAATTTAAAAGACAGATAGGAAGAACATATTTGTAAAAATATGGCTGGCAAATTAATATTAAAAATGTAAGTTATGCCTAAAATGAAAAAGATAATTGAGTAGGAAAATGGGCAAGGGGATATAAGCAGACTATTCATAGAAGAGAAAGTGTACCTCGTTAATAAACCTGAAAAGAGGTTCACACTCAATTGTAGTCATAAGAATGCCAACTAAAATGAGTACCATTTTTGTATTCATAGATTGAGACTACCTAATATTAACAAGGATGCACATGAAAATACAGCTTTTTAGAAAGCAATTTGGCAACACATTAAAATACTGAGTTTTATCCTTCAACCCAGTGATCCTGCTTCTTGAATTTACTATAGAGAAGCACCCCATAATATACACAAGAAAACAAGCACATACAAGAATGTTTATTGGTCTGTTTTTTTGTAATCTTGAAGTACCAGAAATGACCCAAATTTTCATACAATAGCAATTAAATAAAATGGAGATCTGGACATAGAAATATCTCCAAGAAATATTGGGAGGTGAGGAGTAATGAAACTATGGTTTTATACTTTTTTATATAAAATGCATTTATTACAACATTTCTGTAGATTTAAATGTATGTAAGCACACAGAAGAAAAGTATAAAAGAATATGTACAAATTCTTAATAGTGATTGCTTTTTGAGATGGTTTGAGGGGACAACAGAGGAACTTTACCTTGGTTATTTTAACAATTAGAATGTATTTATGAATTATTTGTTCAATTATAAATATGTTTTCTTGATTGCTAGGGACTTCTGGTCACCATGATTACTCTAGTCACTTCCAATTGCTAATAAAATTAAGCTTCTCTTAACAATAGGTAGAAAACTCATCAATTGGAAAGGACAAAGATTGAATAAAAGGAGTACCTAGTTATCTTAAAGGGAATTAAAGAATATTATGAAATTATCAGCATGGTATTTGGTTGGTAAAGCTAAGCTGCAAGCCAGTGTTCTAAATTTAATACTGTGGCATGTGTACTTGAGTTTCATAATGTATTCTAAATACTATTCCAGATTTTCTAAATTGTAAGATTTATTTTTTTGCATTCTCACAGCTCGACACTTCATGCACCAGATCATCACAGGAATGCTGTATCTCCATTCTCATGGTATATTACACCGGGACCTCACTCTTTCTAACCTCTTACTCACGCGTAACATGAACATCAAGATTGCTGATTTTGGGCTGGCAACTCAATTGAAAATGCCACATGAAAAGCACTATACATTATGTGGAACTCCTAATTACATTTCACCAGAAATTGCAACTCGAAGTGC